AGGGGGAAATCTGTGGGGGGGAAGGAGAAACATCTGTAACAAAAATAAATTAATTAATTAATAAAAAATAAAATACAATAAATAAAAATTGAACCAATAATCTCATTTCTAGGAATATATCCTAAGAAGCCTGAAACACCAATTAGGAAGAATATATGCACCCTTATGTTCATAGCAGGACTATTTACAGTTGCTAAGATCTGAAAACAGCTGAAGTGTCCTTCAATAGGTGAGTAGATAAAAGAGCTGTGGTACATATACACAATGGATACTATGAAACTATAAGAAAGAAAGATCTCTTCTCCTTTGAGACAACATGAAGAAACCCAGAGAGTATTATGCTAAGTGAAATAAGTCAATCAGAGAAACAAATACCACACAATTTTACTTATTTGTGAAATATAAGGAACAAAATAAGCTGATGAGCAAAATAGACCCAGAGACATAGATAGGAGTAGGGTTCAGACTGACAAGCCTTAGAGGAGGGGGGCCGGGGTTTGGGGAAAGGGAAGAGATAAACCAAATAATTTATATACATATATGTATAATCAATAGACATAGACAAGAATGCTCTGAGGCAGGGGCAGGATTGCCTGTAAAAAGTTTTTAAGGATTGGGAGGAGAGTCTTCAGGGTGGAAAAAGAAGAAACATCTATAACAATAATTAATTAATTAATTAATTAATTAATTGAATGAAGGTGAATCAAGTACCCAGGTTTCCATTTTACTCTTAAAATTAGAAAAATAAATTTTTCTAAACACTGAAATAAAAGAACAAAATGGCTGGGATGGTGGGGGGCGGGCATGGGAAGGAGGGTGTCTAGGGGGGAAAAAGGAGAAACATCTGTAACAAAAATAAATTAATAAAAATTGGGGAAAAAATGGAAAGTTGACAAATTTGAATTAATAAAACTTAAAACTTTTTACAGGCAACCAAAGTAAAAATAAATTATTGGACATCAAAATTAAAACATCTTGCTCTGGCTGGTTTGGCTCAGAGGTTAGTGTCAGCCCGCAGACCAATGAGTTGCAGGTTTGATTCTGGTCAAGAGCACGTACCTAGGTTGCAGTTCTTTTTCCTCCCTGGTCAGGATCATGTGGGAGGCAACCAGTTGATGTGTCTCTCTTACATTGATGTTTATCTCGCTCCCACTCTATTTGAATATAAATAAAAAAATTAAAATTAAAAAAATAAATAAAAAGTCTTTCCATCAAAGGACAAAATTAGCAAAGTGAAAAGACCTTCTATGGAAGGGGAGAAAATACTTGTAAATAGTGTATTTGATAAAGGGTTAATATCCAGAATATATAAAGAACTCCTACAATTCAACACCACCAAAAAATAACCCAAGCAGAAAATGAACAAAGAACTCAAATAGACATTTCTCCAAAAGAGATATACAAATGACCAACAAATACATGAAAAGATGCTCAACATCACTATTCATTAGGAAATGCTAATCAAAATCACAATGAGATAGCATCTCACATCCATCAGGATGTCTACCATTAAAAAAATAGAAAATAAATGTTGGTGAGGATGTGGAGAAAGTGGAGAAATAGGAACTTTTTTTTTAATCCTCACCCAGGATATTTTTCTATTTATCTTCAGACAGAGGGAGAGGGAGAAAGAGAGAGAGAAACATCGATGTGAGAGAGACACATTGATTGGTTGCCACCCACACGACCCCAACAGGGCGGGGACAAGCCGCAACAGAGGTACATGCCTCTCTGGCTGGAATCAAACCCAGGACTTCCTGGTCCACAGGCCAACACTCCAACAACTGAGCAAAACTGGCAAGGGTGAGAAATAGGAACTGTTATACTCTGTTAGTTGAAATGTAAAATGGTGCACCCATTATGGAAAACAGTAGGGTAGTTTCTCAAAAAGTGAAAAACTGAATTTCTGTATTATCTAACTATTCCACATTTGGATATATACCCAAACGAATTTAAAGCAGGACCCATGTTCATTGCAGCACTATTCACAATAATTGCTTGAGGTGGAAGCAATCCAAATGTCCATTGACAGATTCATGGATAAATAAATGTGGTCTATTCATGCAATGGAATATTATTCAGCCTGAAAAAGAAAGAAAATTCTCATACATGCTACACCATGGATGAACCTTAAGGACATTATGCTAAATGAAATAAGCCAGTCACAAAAAAAGATACAATATTATTCCACTTATATAAGGTGACTAGGGTAGTCAAATTCATAGAAACAGAAAGTAGAATGATGATTACCAGGGACCAGAGTGAAGGGGAAATAGAGCTGTTTAATGAGTACAGAGTTTCAGTTTTACAAGATGAGAAAGTCCTGGAAATGGTTGGTGGTGATGGTTACATAGCAATGTGCATACAATTAACAATACTGAACTCTACACTTACAAGTGGTATATTCTATGTTATTAAAAATGCTTTTAAGCCAGGCCAGTGTGGCTCAGTGGTTGAGCGTCAACCCATGCACCTGGAAGTTGCTGGTTCGATTCCCAGTTAGGGCACATGCCCAGGTTGTGGCCCAGTCCCCACTGGGGACATGCAGGAGGTGGCCAATCAATGTTCTATCTCATCATTGTTTCCATTTCTCTCTCCCTCTCCCTTCCTCTCTCTCTAAAATCAATAAAGAAAAAAAATTTTTAATGCTTTTAAAAATTAAAATGTTTGCTCTTTAACAGACTCTGCTAAGAGAAAAAAAAAGGTACAAAGTGGGAGAAAATATTTGTAAGCTACATATATGAGAAAGGTCTAGTATTCAGAACTAGTTATAAACATAACTATAAAAACTCAACAGTAAATAAACAAACAATCCAATTAGAAAATGGGCAAAGATGTGAACAGACATCTCACCTGAAAGAAGATACAGATGGCAAATGAAATTGCAGTGTTTGCAGCAGATGTGCCCCTGACCATTTATCCCAGAGTAAGACAGATTTATGTTCACATGAAATCTGTACACAAATGCTTAGAGCAGCTTTATCTGAAACAGCCAAAAGCTGGGAATGACCCAAATGCCCTTCAGTGGGTAAATGGCTAAAGATATTGTGTTGCACCAATAAAAAGGAATAACCCATTTATATATGCAACTACATTCACAAATTGCCAGAGGATTATACTGAGTGAAAAAAGCCAATCTCAAAAAATTATATACAGGGTTACTCTATTTACGTAGCACTTAAAATGAAAAAAGTATATCGCTTCTTGGCCTTTTGGCTACGACCAAGTGTAAAATGACAAAAGTATATAAATTCAAGACAGATTGTTGGTTGCAGGGTTAAGGAGTGTTAAGCATGAGAAGAAAGAGGGTGTGGTTTTTTAAAAGTGGGAGTAATATAAGGAATCCATGTGATGATAAACATGTCCTGCAGCTTTACTGTATCAGTGTTGCTATCTTTGCTATCATATTGTACTAGAGGTTTGCAAAATATTACCATTGGGGAAACTGGGTAAGTAGTACCTGGGCTCTTCCTGTATTATTTCTTTCAACTGCATGTTATTCAATAATGTTCTCAAAATAAAAACTTAATTGAAAAAATATATAATATAATATAATATAATATGATTGTTTTAAAAATGCAGTACATTTGATTTGATCTTTAGAAACAACCTACCAATAAAATACTTATAACAGAGGAAATTTTGAGTGGATTTATCAGGCAAGGTTCATATGGGAAGAGAGGGACCTCAAATGAGAAGAGAAGAGAGTTATGGGAGGAATGAGTGATGATGTGTCATGGCTCAAGCTATACAATGTTAGCAGGGCAAGTCCTAAGAGGGCTTGGAGGAGTCACTAGCCATTTCACAAGAAGCACTTGTACAAAATATCAAGGCAGAACGCACAAGGAGAGCTGGGCTTTCAGGGAAGCAAGGCCAACCCAGAATAGACCCAGGAAAGCTGAGTTCCTGGAGGATGGGGAAGACCCATTGCCTCTGTACAGCCTAAGTATCTCTTAGTGTCAGAGTCAGAGCTCTGCTCAACCTGCAGAATTTGATCTCTACAGGATTAGACAAGAACAAGTTATCCTAACACACAGCACAGAGGAAGTCACCAAAGAAATTCATCTTCCCAAGACAAGGAGGTAGGTATCACCTGGTTCCAGCATACAGAGCCAAGCTTGCTGTGGATATATGGTGAGCTGGGACAGGGTAAGCTTGCGATGGAGAAGGAGTGGGCTCAGATGCAGTGCCACAGGGCACCATGAGGGCTGATACTGGAGGGGTGCTCATTGTGCATCTGAACAGGAGTGGCCAGGGTACAGGAACGTGCCCCTGTGGGAGGACTCCACAGCAGAGAGCTCAGACATAGTCCCTGGGCACAGTGGACTGCCCCTGAAGGGAGCTCTGGTGTTGGCGGGAGATCATTTCTAACAGCAAGTAGAGTTGTAGCTGCTGGAGGTCACACAAGGTAGCTCATGCTCATGGAACCTCAGGACCACAAACTCTTCCCAAACAGGATTTCCCCCATGGGCAGCAGGAACATCTGGTAGGATCTGATGGGGGAGGGGGACTGTGGCTCAGCCTCCTTCAGCAGCTTCTATGACACCTTCTCTAGCTCTGAGCTCACCTCTCAACTCCCTCTGGGTGGTCTGGCTGGTCTGGCTGGTCACTCAGCAGGCTCCTTCTGCCTCAGACCAAGAAAGGGCTGCAGTGGTTTATCCTAGAGGCCTTGATGGAGTGCCAGGCCAGGAAGATGACCATGGGGACCATTGAATCTACACACCTTGGAGCTCAGGAGTTCTAGTGGAAATGCCTCAGAGAGACTGGCAGGTGGTTTGAGGCTGAGGGACCAATTGTGCCAGATTACATGGGATGGACAAGGCTTTTGTTTGTAAGCTGGTCATCTCTGGTGAGGTTGCCCTGACAGGCTCTTTTAATTCATGAACCATGGAAGGGCATGGATGGTCCCCCATACCCCAGGAAGGTGCAGGGCCCTCACCCTCCTTCCCAAAACAAAACAGTGAAACAAGATGCCTCATGCGGTTCTGGTTTTTATTGGAGTGTCTGTGCATATACAGTGTGTGGAGGTCAGGCCAGGTGTGCGGCTTAACAGTGCAATCTTCCCCATCACCCCCCACACACCCTGAAGGGCAGGACCAAGCACTCAGCACACCTGGGCCAGGTTGTGCTTCTTGTACAGCAGCTCCCGCCTCTTCTCACGCTCCCGCACAAAGGTGCGCAGACGTGCAGTAGGGAAGGTCACAGCAGAGGGCTGGGTGCAAGCTGGGCCCTCTTCAGTCAGCCATGGGCACTGAAGGCAGCTGGATGCGCCTGGCCGGCCCCTGGAGCATGGAGAGTGGTGGAGAAAAGGGGAGGTCAGCCTGCTCAGGTGGGTGCAGGGCAGAGGGGGATGGGCAGGGTCATCTTACCAGGGGTGTGTGCAAAGTGTACTCTGAAGGAAGGCCACGGCTCCCCCAGAAAGCCCTGCATAGCAGCGACTCAGCAAGATAAGCCCCTTGCGCAGGCCTTTCTGCATGTCTCGCATGCCCTCGCTGCTTACTGGGTACTCTGCACTCAGCCTGTGCAGGAAAGGGATAGGGGACTCAGGTCACATGGAGATCCTTGTGGATCCCATACCCGCTCCCGCTTCCCCCCTACCCCCCGCAGCACTTAGGACTCACATGATGAATGCTGTCACACCGATGGCCCAGATGTCAGTCTGTGGGACGGCACCCTGGCCTTCTAGGAGTTCTGGGGCTGGGGGTAGGGGGAAAGGTGGTGCACAGGTGAGGGGCTGGGTGTCTGCAGTGGAGGGGCTGGAGGAGGCAGGACTGTGGAAAGGACTACTCCTGGCCTACCCCTTACCCTACTCACCCATGGTCTCCACATAGTCTTTGAACCTCTCTGAGGGCAGGATCCTCTCCTGGGAGAGGCTCTGGGCATTGCCCAAGTCGACCACCTTGAGTAGGTTGTACTCAGTGACGATCATGTTCTCAGACCTGAGGTCCAGATGCAGGATACCCTGTGCATGCAGATACTGGGTGGCACTTAACATCTGCCATAGGTAGTCCTTCACCTCAGATTCTGAATAGGATGCCCTGGGGACACATGGGGAGGGGCTCGGCTCTGTCTGGTTTCAGCTGAGTCTCCTGCTCAGTCGGGGAAGTTAGTCTGGGATGTCCCCCATCCCCGGCCCTGAATCCAAGCCAGGTAGCCCCTCACCGTTCAGCCAGGCAGGGGAGCAGCTCTGGCCCAGAGCATAGCTCCAAGATGAGGACCAGGTGCCGGGGGCTGAGGTAGGCAGCCTGCAGCTGGGCCAGGTGCGGGTTGCGCAGGCTCTTGAGGGCCTCATACTCGAGAAGCACTGCCATCCTGTCTTCTGTTTGGTAGGGAATGATCTTGGCTGCCAGCTCACGCCCGCTGGCCTTCTCCCAGCACTGCCTCACCACACTGAAGCGGCCCCTGGTGAGGAGGCACAGGCCAGGTTCCTGAGGACCCCTCCTGTCCCCCACACGCCCTCCTGCAGCCCCTTCCCACTCTCAGCTGCAGGGAGGCAGCCCAGCGCTGAAGGGTGGGGTGCAGATGCTGGTGAGCTGGTTGGGGAGGCCTCTGCACCTTCGGATCTGTGTCTGGAAGGCGAAGGTCTGTGTACTGGGGAGCTGATGGGCTGGCGGTGCAGGGCAGCTCTCCTCCTCAGAGTCTGTGGGAAGGGAAGCCAGTGACTCCCCATAGTCTCAGCTCCCCAACCTTGTCTCCTATCACCCCTTCCTTGGCACCCTTTAAACCCACACTTGGCCTCTCATTCTTTGAATCATTTGGGGATGGGGGAGCGGTGGCATAGTAGTCAGAACAAACTGTCCCAGGGTGTGCATGTGTCTTGGTGAAGTTGAAGGGCAGTTCTAAAGGGACCACCACCTGATGCCCACAGGTCCTGCAGAGGCTCACCCAGGTGGTTGGGCCCTCCCAGGTGGACCTGCTCCGAGGGGCTGCTGTAGGGACCCATGCCGGCCTTGCTGACGCATGCAGTCCGAAAGGTGTACACACCACCTCTCGAAAGCTTGCTGGCCAGGTAGCAGCAATCAAAGATGTCTGATGCCAGCGTGCTCCAGCTGCCACCTGGCCACACAAAGCGGGTGAAGGGTAGCCCCAAGCCTTCCCATTCCAGAGTCCGAGGTGGAGATCCCCACCCCCTCCCTGAGTAAGGCTGACCAGGAGTTCAGAGGGGTCCAATGCTTCCCTTATGGGTGTTCAGGGGTGCAGAAAGGGCCAAGCACTTCCCCCATGGGTGCCCAGAAGTACAGAATGGCCAGGTGCTTCCTGTACCTCCACACACACTAACCATGGGGCCCCCCAGGAGGCAAGGGCACAGGTATGATCCTACCTTCCAGGCTGCACTGCACGATGTAGGTCACGGGGCCATAGGACTCCATGGGTTTCCAAACCAGCAGCACCCCATCAGTATATACCTCCCCGATGTCTGGGCGTGGGGAGGATGAGGGGCGCTCTGCAGGGCCCACAGTCAGGGATCTGAGGTGGGCTCCCATGAGCAGCCCATGTAGCTCTGAGCCCCTGATCCCACCTCTGCACTCTACTGCCAGGCCCTGAGTCCACCCTCCCCTGGTCCCATGGATTCCAAGGTCCCATTACAGTGCTGCCTGCTAGAGGGGCACAGTGCCTCTCCAGCAGAGGCTCAGGAGGTGTCTGCCTGCCCAACCACAGGCTTCCTTCATCTGGTGTTCACTCAGGAGCCTGGTGTAGTAGTCCTCACTCACAGGCCCCTGCCCAACCCAAGTTCCGGTCAGAGATAGCTCAACTTGGCTGAGTGGTGGAGCAGGCACCTAGGGTTGGCCACCTGAAGTCTGGACCCCCTCTAGGGATCAGGCTGGGGGTCTAAGAGCTAGGCCTGCCAGCCCCATTGGAAACCTCAGGGCAAAGGTGATAGCCTAGAGTGGGACCTCCCCCAGTTCCCACAGAGACGGCCTGGTGAGGCCCACCCACCTGCCTTCCGGAGAACAGCTGTGGTGGTTGCCATGCCCAGCGCATTGTGCACACTGCATGTGTACACACCTAGGTCCTCAGTGGTCACCACCAGGATGGTCAGGAGGTGGAAATTTTTTAGTGTGGAGGAAATAAGAAGGCGTCCACTGGTCTCCAGGAGGGCCCCATCTACATCAGGACAGAGGAGCCTGGGAGCAGCTCACAACACCCAGGCCCCACCCTGGCTGATGTTGCTTAGTGGTTAAAGCATGCACCCTTACACTAAAGAGTCCTGAGTTTGATTTCCAGTCAAGGGCGTGTACCTGGGTTGTAGGTTTGATCCCCAGCCCCTGTTGGGGCATGTGCAAGAGGCAACCAATCCGTGTCTCTCTCATATCGATGTTTCTCTCTCTCTCTCCCCTTCCCTTCCTCCCTTCCACTCTTTCTAAAAATCAATGGGAAAAATATCCTTGAGTGAGGATTAACAAAAAATAAAAAAATAAAAAAAACCCAGGCCCCACACCCTGTCAGGACCTCAGTTTCCCTCTGTAAGTTGATAGCCATGACCTCAAGAAGCAACCCCTGCTGTCCTGCCTCCAACCCCTCCCCCACACCAGGATAGCTCCTTACCTTTCTTCCAGGTGGCCTGTACAGCTGGCTGGGCCGACACCTGGCAGGCAAGAGTCACAGACTGGCCCAGGGCCACTGTCTCATCTGCAAGCTCCCTCAGGAAAGATGGAGCTAGAGAAGGGAGGTGGACCAAGTGTCAGAAGAAATCCCAGGCCAAAGAGCATGAAACCTGAGGTGGGATACTGGAGAGAAGCCCACCTTCACCCAGCTCATCTTCAAAACTAGCACCTCCTCCAGGAAGACCTCCAGGACTGCTCAGTCCTGACAGCCAGGGGAGCCAGAGCACCCTCATCTGGGCCCAAGTCACTATGGGTTTTAGCTTGCCTCCCTGCTGGTCTGAGCACTGTGGTCCCCTGGGCAGCAGGGGGACCCAGCCCCAAGCAGCACAATCACCTTGGTCTCTGCTCTTCAGACCTGACAGCCAGAAGGAAGGTAGGCCTGCCTTCTTCCTGGGGGACCCCTCCTTCTCAGGACCTGCAGGGAAGATGGAACCAAGGGAGGTCACACCAAGACGCTGACTCCTTTTGGAACTAATATTAGGAGCATAGGAGGAGGACTCTGGGGCCACCTACCACCCACTGCTAGATTACCATATGGCTGAAAAGCCTGCATCCCAGGGGATGGGAGTTTGAAACAAACTAAATCTGCTATGGAGACCACTCCCTCCCTAGCCTGTCAGCATCAGTCCATCCTGGGTGGGGGCACCTTGGGCAGGTAAGGCCAGCAGTTCAGGAGTGAAGGGGCCCTGAAGGCCTGGCTGAGGTCTGGGATCAGGTGGGGTCAGTGAGGGTCAAGAGTCAGGAAGACTGGCCCTGTTGGGATCTTCTCCTAGGTCCCAACACTAGGTCTTAGATTCACACCTAAGGGGATGAAGCCAAGAAGGTGACCTTGGGAACAGAATCCCCTGTTTTCCTGGGGTTTAGGCAGCACGGAAAGGGGTGGGAGCTTCCTGCCTCAGGTGGGCTCCTGAGCTGTGATTCCTGGGCATGGATGCAAGATGTCTCAAGATTCAGGGGGCACACCTGGCCTTGCCCAGAAGCCTCCATGGTAGGGGTGAGGGATTTACCTTGAGGCCTGCCCCTCAGGAGGCTGGAGATATGGGCCACTGAGGCCCTCACCCTCTGGCACAGCCCCATCTCCACAGGCTCCTCCAGCAGGGCATGACTCCCAGGAAAGTGCAGAAGGCCCCCGGAGGGGGATGACCACTTGTGCTTCCTGCTGTCACCTTCCTCCATGAGCAGGGCCTCCCTGTCCTCCAGCTCCTCCCTGATCTCCAGGCCAGCAGGCAGGCCCAGCATGCCCTGCCAGGACCATGAGGCCTCTGAGAGTTCAGCCAGCTCCTCCCTGGCCTCCGACTCTGGGGAAGGCAGCAGCTCTGGTTTGGGGATCTTCCTGTAGATCATGAACTCAAATGGAAGGTATTTGATGTCATACAGGTCCGACAGGTTGAGGTAGGCAGGCTCTACCTCTGATATATCCAAAGACATGTTGTCTGCTGCCTCCATGTCCCCTGACAGGTCCTGGATCTGTACCAGTGACACTTGGGATCCCCTGCCCCTACTGCCCTCTGGCAGAGGCACCATGCTGGCCTGTGGGAGTGCACTCTGGGCCCCTGTTTCATCTTCTTCCTCCAAGGATTGAGAAGTAGCCCAGGCCATTCTGGCCCACAGGGGCCCCTGTCCCAGCATGCCTCCCGCATCCCCACCAAAGGCAAAGGTGCCATAGCCAGCCACCCCTGCATAACCTCCGTGGTGCCCAAGGGAGAACTTTCGTGAGGTGGCCTGCTCCTGAGGCTGAGGTGGGCTAGGCTCAGACTCAGAAAGACCCTCTGTCTCCTGCCCTAGATCCTCAGTGTCTAGGGAAAAGCCAGGCTCTATGCCAGATAAGGAGGCTGGCCCTGGAGAGCTGGGGAGACTGGGCCTCCCAGGGAAAATGGTGGCCTCCAGCTGCCTCCTAGAGTTTGACTGGAGGCTTGATTGAGCTGGGGAGGAGAGACCCTGGGGCTCTTGGGAGAGGAAGGGGCTTGGGGTTGCCAAGAGAGCCTCCAGACAGCTCCCTGGAGGAAGAGAGCCAGGAGCTTGATGTACATCAGCCCCAGGGGGATCACAGCCCTTCCCAGGGGCAGAACCCCACTTGGGGTAACAAAAAGGAGCTGTCTGCTTCCCACAGCTGTCCTGGGATGACCCCTCTTGCTCTTCAAGGCAAGTATCTCCACCAGTAGATGAAAATAGTCTTGGCCATTTCAGAGTGTCCATTTCTATGGTACCTTCCACCTCTCTGGGCACACTCTCCTCTCTGGTTTCAGCCTGGAGGCCCCAGAGGGTGGGTGAGGGACACTGCACCTCATGACAGGCCTCTGCAGAGGGGCTGGCCCAACGTGGACAGTTGAAGTCCAGAGAATGGCTGTGGCAGGGTCCCCCAGGAGCACTGGTGCTGATGCTGGGCAGCTGCAAGGAAGTTTCAAAGGAGGGTGCCTTGGCCATCAGAGCAGTCTGCTCCTCTCGGGTGGCTTCCTCCTCCAGCACACGGTACTCCAGCAGTGGCTCTCGCAGGCTAGGCAGGGTGCCCGAGAAGTAGCCGCCCTTGAGCAGGTGCCTACTCCGCAGGGGGACCCGCCGGCTGCCCATGGCTGGAGCCCTATGCTCCAGGCTCTGGCCTGCCTGCTGGTAGAACAGGCTGCAGATGACACTCTGCCTGGGCACACAGCCTGGGGCAGCTGGGGGCACTGTGCCCTGGGGTAATGCAGGCAGAAGTGCTGCCTCCAGGGGAGGACAGGGCTCGGTCTCTTCTGGCAGGCTAGCAGACGGCCGCAGAAAACCCCTCGGGTTCATAAGCGGGGAGTGGGTCACGGGAGAGGGTGGAAGTGACTTGGCTCGGGCAAAGGGTGCCAGCTCATTGTCAGAGGATGAGGAGCTACTAGAAGAGGCGCTGACATCACTGTGCAGGTGCCGGGCCACTCCAAGAGATGGACTATCTGGCGGGCCCTGGAGCAGCTCTGGGATAGAACGCATCACGAGGATGGATTTGTAGTTCATCAGGGAGCGCTGTGGGGAGGGGGGGTCCGGCAAGGATCATCAGCCTGTGCCCACTGCCTCCTGCTCCCGGTGTGCCCAGATGGGGGACCCAGGAGATGGGGACAGTTAAAAGCCCTTGTCCTCATTCCCCACACTCCAGGACTCTGTAGTTGTGTCCCTGTCCTGGCTAGAAGCATGTGCAGCCCCACCCCAAGTCCTGGCAGCTCAGGAAATAGCAGAATCCTGAAAGAAGGATGCCCTGCATACAGCCAGCCCTGGGGCCAAGCTTCCCTAGCTTCCCTCGCCTGCTTCTAGGCCCCCCATGCCCCACCCAAACTCTCCCCTGCACTGTCCCTTCTTCCACTCCTCCTCCCTGTGCCCTTGGCAATACTGCGCTCTCTCTGCAAATTGACTTACCTGCCAGCGGCTGCGGGCCAGGATAAACTTGAGTTGCTTGGTGTTGATGAAGTGGGCCTCCTCTGCCGGCAGGGACTTCTGGGGGGCCCAGGTGAGAAAGCCAGGTTGGAGGAGACCCTGGTGGCCCTAGAGCCAGATAGACCCCACCCCTCTTGGTCTCACTTTTCCTCTCTGTTTTCTAGATTCAGCCTACTCACCAGGAACCAGGGGTGGGCAAGGCACTGGGCTGCACTGGGGCGGTTCCTGTGGGGAAACCAATCCCAGGGTCAGGCCAGGGGTCAGCTGGCCCCCTGAACAGGTAATGGGGGAGGAGAGGAGGACATGTACACTCACTCTGGGGTCCTCTGCAGGGTGGCCTTGATAAAGTCCTGAGCATCCTGGCTGAGGTGTGCAGCCACTGGGCTACTCCAGGACACCCGCCCCTCCCGCACGTTCAGGAGGGTTGCACGGTCACTCTCACCAGCAAATGGGGATGAGCAGGTCAGGCTGAAAGCATAGAGAGTGTCTGGCACTCAGACATGACCCGGGATTATTGGGTCCCACAGGATTGGTGGGCATAGCCCTTACTGAGATGGCCTCTCAGTGCCCTCAGAATCCCAGCAAGTGTCTCCAACTTGCCCAGATATCCAGGCTCAGCCTGGAGTAGGGATCTGGACTCAGTTAGAATAGAGATCAAGGGTTAGCCTGGAGTAAGCACCAGGCCTGAGCCTGAGGTGGGGAGTAGGGCTCCACCTGTAGAGGAGATCCAGGCTCAGTCTATACCAGTAGTGTCCTCAGGGCAGCTGTAACTGCTATGAAGGGCCTCTGGACAAACCAGCCAGACCCTTCAGAGAAACAGCTCAACATTGTGCCTCACGACCCAAAGAGCTTCTCTGGGACAGCGTATGTGTGAAAAGCCCTAAGCAAAAACCTCTTATCAGAGTTAGCCACTGCTTATTCCCAAACAAGCTGCTCTTGGGTCTCAGATCTCTGACCTAGGGAGGGCCAGTGGTGCCTGTGACCTCCCGTGGGCCTGCCAGGATGGGTCTGGGATTGGCTTCTGAGGAGACGACTGATGGGGGCTGGGGTCTGCTCACCTGAGGTAGGAGATGACCCCCATAGCCCTGTGGGAACAAAACCACAGCTGTGAGTCATCCCAGGCCTGGCCGACAGGTAAGAGGCATGAGGGGAATGGAAGCTGAGAGAAGAGGGCAGGCTGAGAGGGGGAGGATGGGCTGGCATGGTGGCTTTGTCCCTGGGAGCCCACCCACTCACCAGATGTCAGAGGCCTCGCTCACAGGGGTCTGATTGATGATCTCAGGGGACACAAACTCAGGGGACCCATACTTGCTATACTTTGGCTCTGCCGGGGTGATTTTTTGGGCAAAGCCAAAGTCGCAGATTTTAATGTCTTCCCGAGCAGGATGCACCATCAGGATGTTGGGGGGCTGTTGGGCAGAGTCAAGAGTAGGTGAGGCCTCAATCTAAAGAGGTGACTCCAGGGGCTACCAGGTCTGGGGGGTAACTAGGGAATCTGTGAGGGGCTGTCCCATGGAGATAAAGAGGCCAGGGTTGGGGAGGCAGTGGGTTGCACTGGGGGCAGGTTTTGGTATTATTTGGGGACAGCCTCTGCTCTATCAGAGTCACACCCCACTTGGAGTGGCTGCTGGTAAGTAGTGTTTCCCATTCCCCAAAGTGAGCAAATCCTGAGAGGAAAACTGGCAGTGGTGGGCCTGTGCCTTTTCAGCCTGTAGACCCCAGGCTCCCATCTGTCCCTCCCTGGGCTTTGGGGGCACAGTGTGGGGCAATTACCTTTATGTCCAGGTGGAGGATGCTGTGGCTGTGCAGGTAGTACAATCCCTCCACCAGCTGCTGGATGTAGACCTTGACCTCCAGGGGCAAAGACCATTGCTCAGGTGAGACAGCCAGCCTCAACCTCCCCCTCCATTTTTCTCTCTGCCCTGTTTCCATCTATACCTCCACTCTCTCCAGACCTGGGACCATCCCACAGGCAGTACATACAAAGCCTCCCAGACCCCACGTGCCTGGGTACGGGGATTCCTCTGAGCCCTGAAAGTGGGCAGGGTTTGTGTTTGTGAAGCTGCATGAACAAAATAGGAAGCTTGATATTTCAAGAGCAGGTGAGAGTTGGCCCACTGGCTGAGTGCAGTCTGGGTGAGGGAAGAGGTGGGCCCTGCCCAGAGGTCTTTGAGAGTTGACCAAGGAGCTGTAACACTTTCTAAGGCCCTGGAGATCCCTAAATGGTCTCTGAGATGGAGCACACTGTGCGAGAGGTGGAGCACACTGTGCGAGAGGTGGGCTGTGTCTGCTAGAGCATGCAGGTAGGGCAGGGGGAGTAGGAGGTCTGGTGGGGTATGCATGCAAGCATATTGGTTCAGCAGATAGCTCAGGCTGCAAAGTCACCTCAGCTTCTGTCACCACACTCTTCTTGAACAGGCGGTCCAGTAGTTCCTCTGATGAGCACCTGGGGCTCAGGTCAAGGAAAGCTCTGGGGTCTGGAACCCACCCAGCTCCACACCCAATGGCAAGTCTTATCTTGGGAGGGGGGGGGGGTGGAGGTCCATGCTTGGGAGGTGGGTCCTCCAGGTTGAGGACACTGTGTGGAACACAGACCCTGAAGAGAGGAGCTGAGTCCAGTAGCCAGCAGCAGAGTTGGAGTAGAGGCATCCTATCCCCTCTGCACAGAACCCATACCCCCTGCAGAGACAGGGGACACTGATTGGTAGAGGTGGGAATATAGTGAGCACATGTGACACCCAGAGACTCTCAGCTAGGCAGCAAGTTGTGGGATGAGACACAGAGGGGACAGAGAAGGCGTATGTCCCTCCCTGGAGCCTGGATGGGCAACATAGGAGCCCTAGCACTTGGGACCTGGGGCTGCCATTTAAACAGTCTGACCTCTGCCTAGAGAAAGGCCACATGAAGCATGGGAAGAGCCCTGCCCAGATATGTCTTGGACCCTCTAGAGACAACCCTGCCCAAATTCCTGGCTCAAGAGGCAGAAAGCTATGAGGACAGGGCCATGTCTAGGCTGGTTAGTCACACAGCATCATAACAGGAACATGGGAGGCCCAGTTGGCTACCCACACTAGGAAGCTGCAGGACTGAGAACACCAGAACCACAGGCCCCACACCACCCTTAGGACCGCTGCTCTCCTGAAGCACACATCCTCCTCATACTCTTGAGGCTGAGGTATGGATACAGCTCCAGGACAAGGATGAGAGTTTTGCGAGTCTCAAACTGGTCCAGCAGCATGGTGACCAATGGGTGGCTCAGCTCTGACAGTACATCCCGCTCCTGGTAAGCCTGGGTGCGTGTCCTGCTCCGCAGGGGGATGAACTTGGCAGCGCAGAACATCTGGTTGCCCTTATGTTGCACCCTCTTCACGAAGCTGAACACACCCCTGGGAAGAAGGGAGCCTACACTGGACTCCCGAGACTGGGCTCCAGGGATGGGCATGGGGGTTCCTGGCAGGTGGAGGTTTCGGGAGGGCAGGGGCTGAAGGGAATTGGTACTGGGGAGACAAGGACTCCGTAGAGGTAGGGTTCCCAGAGTTAGGGGCTCCTGAGGATAGAAGAGTACTGCATCCCCCTACCCCCAGGATGGGATGGGGGACAGGGCCTTCTAGGAGATGAGAACTCCCAAAGAAAGGCAGGATTCCTGAGAGGTGAGAGTTCTAGGAGAGCAGGGGCTGGAGGGTAGGCAGGGTTTCCAGGGGTCCAGAGAGTACTGAGGGGTGGCCTCTGAGAAGTGGGGCAGGGGGGTGGGGGGAGATACCTGCCAATCTCTTCCTTGACTTCATAGAAAGAGTGCAGTTTTCTCTGATAGCTTTGCTTCTCTGAATCCAGTTCTCTGTCCCCTATAGTCAGGGAGCAGTCAGGTGTCAGTACAGACAAAGATCTCTACCCCCATCCCACTGTCCCCCAACTCTGTAGTATCTGTGGGGGCAGTTCCCTGTAACTGAGCCTGTGGGAGGCCACAGGGGGCTGGGACTGGGACCTGGAAAGGGTTCCCTGACTTACCTCCATGCACCAGCAGCTCTGCCTTGCACAGCACCTGGCCACCAGCATTTTGGGCCAGGCAGGTATAGACACCAGCATCATGCTGGCCCACATTCCTGAGCACTAGGGAATAGGTTGTCCCTTCCTGCTGCTGGCTGAGTCGTGTACTGTCCAGCAGCTGGATGCTGTCCTGGAGGCACAGGTGGTGGGGTAACTATCAGCCCACTCCTGGGTCCCAGCACTTGGGCCCACCCCGCCTTTAGTGAGTGACATGCCGTGTATCCAGTGGGAATTTCACCAGACACAGGCCCCCACCCCACACCCCTCCCTACCTTATACCAGGTCACTGTGGGCTGTGGGTTGCCCTTGATGACCGCCTGGAATTTTGCTGTGTTGCCCCCCTGTGCCTGCACATCCTCGATGGTGACCTGCATGGATGGGGGTCCTGGGGGTGGGGGAGGGAAACCATATGGAGAAGTCCAGGTTTCACTGTTCAGCTACCCACATCCTATATTCCAATCTGGGAGTCTGAGTTAGTGTCAGCGTTACTGAGACTTCAGTGGGCTGGCAGAGACCCCAGCCACTCCGGGTACCCCAAGTATCTCAAGGCCCTGAGATACCCTCAGGGTAACAGAGCCCACCTGCCTCCCAAGTGAAAGCGACCTCCCCCTGATTCTGCCTAGGCTCCTGACAGTTAGGAACTGCTTCCTTCCGTCTAAGCACTTTCTTTCCTGCTTGAACCCAAGCTCTCTGAGGGCAGGGTATGCAGAGCATTAACTTAGGCTGCAGAAAGAACATCTAGTTCATTGCTGCCCGCCCTCCCCTTCCAGTGATGCTCCTCTGAGGGGATGCAGGATCTGGGGGCAGCAGGGGTGGGCCACAGCAGGGCTAGCACACATCAGATAGTCCCTCTGTGCAAGTGTCCCCCAAGCTGATGCGCACAGTGGGCACACACAAAGCCTACTTGCGTCACCCATGTCGCTGGCCTGGTACACGTATGTCTGGCGTGTGGTCTCTGTGAACATGTGGCTGCAGACATCCCAGGGCTCAGTGGCTTCTGTTCCTGGCCAGGCCGCGCTATCCATCCTGGGACCATGAAGTGGGTGAGTTGTCTGCCCACCCATCCACTTTTGGGGGTGGGCACTGACCGTCATGGTAAGTTGGGTCCCTACCCTACCCTCATTCAGGGCTACAGCAGACTGGGAAGAAATGTAGAGACTGGGTCCCAGCCTTAGGTGTAGAGGGGCTCACCCAATATCTCTGGCCCTAAGAGTGGCCTCTCTTCCTTGCACTGCCCTTTGGCTGGGGTAGGGCTGATGAGGAGTGTCCAGGGGTGCTGTGAGCCCACTCCTTATTCCTCCTGCCCTGCTTCTGGATATACCCTTGTGGAATGCCCCACCCACTGTGCCAGAGACATTACCTGATGGGCACGATGCACCTGTGAGCCGCGGTGGGAGCCCCCAAGTCCTGATCCTGGCTTCCATGAGGGAAAGACTGAGGCACGTTCCCAGACTCTGATAGTGGGAGGTCAGGGCCTAATGAGACACAGCCTGGGATGGGGCTGGGGCCTGTCCCCAATAACATGCCTTTCTGTCACCCTCCAGGGCTCAGAGGGTGGGAGCACAGGCAGAACAGGGATGCAGGGTTTGTGCCCCAAAACCTGGCCTCCTACAGGGCATTTGCACCTCTTCCAGGGCACCCTCCTGTCCTAACCCTTAGCCTGGGGCCACCAGCCGTGAGGCTGCCCACCTCCCCCCAGACCCCATCCCACAAAGGGATGAAGCAGCCTCTATTGAAAGGGGCTTCTCAGCAGCATTCCTGGGGTCTCATCTGTCAGAGACAAGGTGTCCCCCTCCTCCCTCTCCTCTTCCCATTTCTCCCTTCCTCCCCTGCCCTGGCACAGGGTGCCCAGGCTATCTGCCAGGGGTCTGACCCAGGAGGCCTCTGACAACCAGGATAGATGTTCTCAGGGTAGACAGAACCTCCCAAACTACCCCCCCACACACCTAGTTTTATAGATGGGGTGACAGCCTGAGTGAGGAGTAGGCCTTACCCAGGATTCCCAGTGCAGGGACCCTAGTGATATCCGGGTCCCCAGGGTTTTGCCAGTTCACTCCCATGTGATGAGCACCCATAAGACCAAGGTTTGGGTCAAAACAGAAGAGCGGGCTTTGGGAGCAAGTGGTACTTTGCAGTCAGCCTGCTGCTGGGCCTCACCAGATTCATCTGCAGCCTCAGTGCCTAGGAGCTGGGAGCTGGCCTCCTGGAGAGCAAGTGGCCCCCTGGGGCCTGGACCTGCATTGTTCACTGCAGAGGTTCCTGGAGCCTCAGGGCCCACCAGTGTCCTCTGGACAGACATGATTTCCTGGTCCACTTGCTCCAGGGCAGCTGGGGGTGGGACAGCAGCACCTATGGGAAAAGTGCATGGGCCTGTAGGGGTGAGGCATGGCCTGGGCCTGAAGAGGGCGCTCCAGGAAACCCGTCTCAGACCTCAGAGATGCCCAGGTAAGTTGACCAGGCTGCCCTTTCTACTCGCCTGCTCCACCCACCCACCACTTCTTTCTCAGGTGCTACAGGAGGTAGAAGTTCCTGAAAAAGAAAGGTGACTGGAAGTGGATAGAGCTGGTGCTCAGGACAGTGAGCGCAGAGCCACACCATTCCTGGGCTTGTACCTTCAAAAGAACGTCAACTCCTCAGGGGCTGCTGGGCCTAGACACCTACCTTGTGCCCCTTCTGCCCCTCAATCTCATCTCTTCCCATCCCTTAATTCTGTGCTGGCCTCCCTCCTGGCTCACTCTGGACCCCAGGCTCAGTGAACCCAGCCCCATAATATAAGGGAAGCTCGCAGCCAAATAAGGGTCCTGGGGAGCCACAGGGGGTGGGCTCCCTTACTGCCCTCCCATAGCAAACCCTGTCCCCTACCCAGGATAGGACTCCACCTGAGGGCCTATCCCCCCTTCCCTCCTAGTGCAGCCTTGCTGAGCCCAGGTCACTGCACTCTCACCTTGCCCCTGCCCTGGCCTCTCATGCAGCCCCCACTTCTTCCCAAGGGAACCACCACTCTCCCTCCCCTCAGCCACTGGTGCAGTCCCTTCCTCCACCTGGTTGTCAGCCCCAGGTGGCATCACTGTGGTCTGAAAGTCATGCCCAGTCATGCCCACTGTTTCATTCCCAGCAGGTCCTGCTGCCTTGAGCCCTCCCCTGCCCCAGAACCCTCTCCAGCATTAGGGAACCCACCCTGTTCTTTCCCACTTCAAGGCGGATCCCACACACATCACCCCCCGTGTCTGTCCTGACAACAGGGGGCAGGAAGGCTTGCTCATCTGTGGCAGGCTGGGAGCAACCATTATAGGCAGTCACACCGTGTGCACCTGCGACCAGCCCCACAGCCTGAGTGCTAGCAGGCTGGTCAGGTGAGCTGCCCCGCCTTCACCCAGGGACCACAGGATGGCCAGGACCCACCCATGGCTGCCAGCAGAGGGGGCCTGGGCTGCCCACTGGTTGGTCCCCAAGGCCAGGCCCAGAGGGCCCCTCCTGCCCAAGTTGCCAAAGCCACTGGAAGAAGCAAGAAGGAGCAGAATACAGGGTGCGGGAGCCAGTTTATTATCATCATGGAGTCAACTAACAGGGGCTGCTTCCTACCCACACACCCTGGCCCACTCTACAGGGAAGGCCTGGGAAATCTGCAGAGAGCACCCCAGTGGGCCTTCCTGGAGGCTGAGAAAAGTGTCCATGGGGAAGATGTGCTATCAGGGAAGCCCCCACTAAGGTGGGGGCAGCCTAGGCATGGGACAGGGGTGTGCCACAGCAAACAGAGGGGAGGCCACAGCCCAGAATTAGTCTACCTGTTGCTCCCCGACAGCTCTTGGTAATCTGGGTTATAGCTGTGTATAGAGTGTCCTCTGCTGAAGACCCCCACCCTATGAGGTAGGAAACACCTGGGTGGAAGGACAAGCAGCTGAAGCCCCAAGTTGCTGGAAAGCAAGGGGAGAATCAGAGCACATGTCCTGAGGTGCTGGCTTTAGGCCTCTGTCCTGAGCCCAAAACCCAAGGCAGCTGTGAAGCAGGTAGGTGCTGGTGCCAGTCAGGGTCCTAGGTCTCAAGGCCACACCCCTCTTTCTGCTGTCCCCATGCAGTCCTATCAGCAGTATCCTGGCTCTGAGAGAGTCAATGTCTCAACCCCCAGCCTCCTGTACCCTTGAGGGTTGCAGCCTCAGCCCTGGGAGGGGCTGGGACCCTCATCCCCATCCGGTTGAATGTGCAGAGTCACTGTCTCACCCACTGTCCCAAAGTTAACTGTATGGGTGGAAACCTCCGTTTTGAAGCTGCTCTGGCCACTGTCCACAGAGAGATGGACTTGAGTGCAGAAGGATGGCTTCCATGACATGGCACCCCTAGCCTGGGCCTCCTGCACACAGAAGACACCAGCAGGGCCAAAGACTTGAGGCCTCGACAGAGCCGTCTCCTGGGGCAAGCAGCTGAAGAAGCCAGGTGGGCCTCGGGGGCCCCGTGGGTACCACACGTTGAGCTGGACAGGACATCCCACAGTGGGCTCACTGATCTCTCTCTGGAGCACTGAGACCTCACAGGGTGGATCATCAAAAGCACTGGGCATGGGACTTCTGCAGCCAAAGTTCTCCCCTTCTTGGGGCATGTAATCCTCCAGGTCAGCCAGCGTCAGCACTTGGCCATCATATGTGAGGATCTTGGGGTCACAGCCCTGAAGATCATCAGCACCCAGAGTCTCCTCCATCAGACAGACACCTCTCCCCTCCTGCACCTCCAAGGGGGCTTCTTCGGTGGCCCCAAGAAGGGACAGCTCAGGCATCTCCAGCCCAGAGTCCACACAGAAGACTCTACCTTGGTTCAGGGGCTCCTGGGCCAGCAGCTTGTTGTTAGAGTTGTTTGTATTGGGGTCTCCTTCAGGGGTCCCGCCAGGCAGTGTGAAGAGAAGCCCCTCCAAGCTGCCAGGCACCTCTCTAGCTGGAGATGCACCCCTTGGGCCTGTTTTCTTCACTTGGACTTCGATGGTTTCCTCAACCTCCACCCACTTGGGGAGGGGCCCAGTGCCCCTGGGCAGGGCTGGCATGTGGGCTCCAGGCTCTGTCACACACAGCATGGGTACAGTGGGCCTCCAGCCTAGCTCTGCCACTGGCCTGCGGAGTTGGCTGGCCCCTGGTGAGTACAGCAGCTCAGGGGACGACATGCCTGACCTGGGTGGACTGGCAGGGTGGCGGGAAGGCGAGAGGGAGGGAGACTTGCTGGGGGACTGGAGGCAGCCACGGGGACTCTTCACCACGGTGGTGATGGTCTCCTCTCTGCAGGGAGAGGGCCGAGAGGAGATGGCACAGAGACCCACAGCCTGGCTTGCCACACGTGCCATCAGCACATTCAGGGCCAGCGTGAAAGATCAGGTTAATGTACCAGCAAGCAAATGGTGAAACTGCACAAGCTCCTACACATCATGCACTTGAGTCCAGTCTCTGGAACCCCAAACTAGAGAACCAAAGAAACAAACACAAAGTCTCATCTGGTCAACCACAAGCTTTGGTGTACAGACCTCAAGAGTTGAGTCATCGCTGCATCATACAGGTGCCTCCAAACCTCAGACCAAGTCCAGTTTGCAATGTCTCTGTGGGTCAGTATTCCCTGTCTATAGCTATCTTGTTTTGCAGATTCCAGTCCTTCTCTCAGCCTATGAACAGGGTGCAAGGACACTGCCCCACAGCCCTTCTTGTCCATGCCACCAGTGTTTTGTGCTTTGTATTATGGGAAGGGGGATGCCACAGCAAGCTTTCAGAGGGCAGGTGCCTCAGTGATCTTGAGTTGGGGACAGACTGGGCAGTTGATGTCGCAGGTGCAGGTGCAGGTGTGGGAGGGTTATCAGAGCCCCGACCTGCAGCCTGTGTTCCTGGCCTCTTGGTCTGAAGTATAAGGCTGGGCAAGAACACGGTCCTGTGTGTGGCTCTGCTGTTATAGGCTTTGTGAATTCAAACAAGCTCTTCCCCTTCCTGGGCCCCATCTCCCAAAACGGGGTGGGGAGGCCAAGAGGAGGCAGAACTCAAGGCAAGTTGTATGTGAACATACATGGAATGCTGACCAGGGTCTATGCAGCAGCATTGGGAGATGGGTCTGATCCCCTTTTATAGGAGTGGAGAAGGCTAATAGTCAGGACCAATAGTCAGAAGCCCACCAATCTGCAGCCCAGTGCCTCTGCCCTGACTGAGTGCTGAGGGCAAAATGAGTAACAGGCAGGGAGCAGTAATAGGCTGAGTAGCACAGAGCTCTCCTGAGCCCCAAGACATGCATTTCCCCATGGGCTCAGGCAGAGGGACTTGGCGTGCTGTTGCCAGCTGCCTGCCTTAACTAAGGTGTTGTCTCCCTTTCTCCAGCTTTGCTTTTGTCTAACTTAGGGCTCACATCCAGAAGCAGTTACCCCTAGGCATGGGCCCAGAGATGTGTGGCCACACCTCAGGGTACAGAGCAATTTGAGGTCTTGCTTCCTCTGGCCTTCACCTGGCAAAGGGGAAAGCTATCTCCACTTAACTAAGGGGAAACTGAGGCTTGGAGTTGTAGCCTACCCAGGGCCAAAGGCCTGTCTTCTTGTCTCACACCCAGGCCCAGAGATCAGGGCCTGCCTGAACATCAGGGGAACTTGGGCCAGATCCCATCTGTTGGCCTCATGCTGCTCAATTGGCCAAAACAGGACAGTGAGTCAGGTGAAACTGGAAAGCTGGATCACACCTCTTAAATGTCACTCCCACTAGTGGGCTCACTGCTACCCCCAAGAGGGCATGTGGACATCCTGCTCTGAGGCCATTGGCACAGTATGTGGGTCTGCCAGGTGGCAGTGGTGTCTCTCCAACCAGTTTCTGTTTTGGTACCCCTGGCTCCGCAGTACCCTTCACTGTGCGGTGTGCCCCTGGTAGTGGGGGGATGCTGTGCCAGGCAGTTGCCTCTCTTCACTCCTCAAGCTGAAAGGGTACACTCCTTCTGGGGTGAAGGTTGCTACCTCCATGAACCTGGAATACAATGGACTTCAGGGTGCCTGTAGTCACCTAGTCCAGCCTCCCACTGGCACAAGTCCTCTCTGATGCCTCTCCCATGGGGCTACCTGGCCCCAACTCTGCTCCTCCATTTGTTATTCATAAAATGTGAATAATAGTAATGTTCTTCTCATGGATGAAATGTAGAGTTGATTTGTGTAAAGCTCTGGAATAGTTGCACACCTCCAGGATGGGGTGTTCATTGTTGCCCCAGGCAGGCCCATCTACTGTGGCATGGTGTCCTACTTTGTGGGAGGAGGCAGGAAGTCAATGAAGGGTTAACCCAGGATCTTAGAAAATGTCTGAAGATGGGATTCTCTACAAAATGACCAACTGTAGGCCCTTAAAAAGGTCTGAGGCCCATGGGAAACTAAGAGGTTGCTCATCCTGAAGTTCTCAGTTACCTGGCCTTAGGAAATGATAATCTTTCTTGCCTCCTGGGTTTTGCAAGCTCTTCTACCACATCCACTTGAACACATCTCCTATTGGAAGTCCTTCCAGACTGTCCAGGTCAAAACCAATCCTGCCTTCTGTGGATTCAACTAGCTCTGGAACTCTGTGCTATCTAATTATCAACAACCCTGTGGCTTTCTTCTCAGCCTTGAAGGCATGGAAGAATGAAGAAGGACGGTGGATGTGGCACTGGGGGAATGAATTCTTAGTTGGTTTCTAATCATGAACCATCTTGAGAAACCCCCTCTCTTCCCTGAACCTCAGTTTCCCCATCTTCCAAATGTAAGTGTTAGTCTTGGGGACTTCTAAAGGCCCTAGAGCTGTGCTGTCTACTATGGTTATACTATTTTAATGAAAATTGTTAGTGAAAATTAAATTTAAAATTCAGTTCTTAAGTTGCACTAGACACATTTTAAATGCTCAATAGTCACATGCAGCTAATGGCTGGTGTAGTAGGCACTGTAAATATGTAATATTTCCATCATCACAGGAAATTCTGTTGTGCAACAATGCCCTAGATCCCAGGGTATTAAAGGGTAGAAATCCACCAGGACACAGCTGTGAGTCCCAGGTCTACCCTAACTGGTGAGACTCTGGGTGTAAGCCCTGGGTGAGACACTGTGAAGTATTCAGAGTAAGTCTACTCTCCTGAGACAGTGCAGCTATGGAGAGGTTTCTGAGGCCCTAGAAGAGAAAGCTCTGAAGTGTGAAGATAGCCAAGGTCCCAGGGGAAGGTGAATTCCCTGGGAGTATCTGCAAGGTGCTGGCAGTCTGTGTGGTGAGCAAAGGCTGTGAGGGCAAGCAGTCAGGCAAGCAGGTGGCCAGACCATACGGGCAATGTCCAGGCAGGTTAGTGGGCATGCAGGTGGCACTGCAGTCAGAAGGAAGGTTAGGAACACGCCTGCACTTACATGATGATGGTTTTCTTGGGGACTTTAGTCTCCTGCTCAGTGACTACAAAGAAAACAGTCGGAATAGCGAGGGTTACAGATCATTCAGCACTTAGGGCTGAGCTACTAAGTGGCATGGCAGTATAGTAACCTGCTCAGTTTAGAAGCACAGGATCCAAGCCCTGCCTGGCGTGTGCCCCTGGGATGACTGTCTCAGCTTAGAGCTTCAGTTCCCTTATCTTTGAAATGGTGATCATGTCTGCCTTGAGTAATATGACAATAGTACATGCCACATGAAGGTAGGACCCCTGTCCCTCTTGAGGGTCTTTCAGGAGCTTCAGGTATTGTAAATGTCTTTTCTAGGCTTCCCACCTAGAAATCCCAGCTTCTCCTTCAGCTATGTACCTAAGGAGCCCTGGGAATTTGTCAGGCCAAAAGTCCTAGTTATCAGACATACAAACTGAGGCCTAGAGAGAGGGAAGGAATAGCCTGTGGCTGCACAATGAGCAAGCAACCAAATTAGAACCAGGATGGCTGATGTCCATTTTAACAACAAAAATCCTAAAGACCAAAAGTGTCTCTAGAAGAGAATGACTGAAGTCCTGGAGTAGGCACATCTGAGCTCCATGGCAAGAGACCATAAAGTCCCATCAGGAGCAGCCTGCAGATGCCTGAGCAGGGTCCTGAACTCTGACTAAACTGGGAAACCTAGGTCTTCCCATAGGAGGGCCTACCTTTGCTCTCCCTGGATCCAGCAGGATAGAGCCTATGGTTCCCATTTTGTGATGGAGTACTCAAGTCCCAGAGATAGGACAGGACTTCTCTGGAGCCAGGGAGCAGTTACACCCAACCATCTTAAGGCCTCTTTCTCTGAAGCTTCTGGGCAGGGTTGGGCTTGGCACAGAGATGTCCCACCCAGTCTTGCCCATCTGGACAATAAGGATTCCACCAACTACCAGCACCCTCACATCTCAACATCCCCTCTCACCATCTTACAGGGAACTTGAAGGGGAGGCTCAAAAATCAAGTGGCAGGGCCCAGGGCTTCCCAGCTCCTGGTCTGTGGCTTTACTGCTTTGCTGCAGTGCCACATAGAGTAAGGCTTTGCCTTAGTCAACCAAGAGCATTTTAAACTTGTCTTGGATTAGGTGCATATGAATTAAATGTATTAGCTTTGTCTGTGTGGCACTTGGCATTTACTGTGTGTGCGCACACATATTTGTGTGTGTGTGCCTGCATGTGTATGCACACAGATGTATATGTATGTGCATGTATGTGTCTATTTGTACAAGCTGCTTCCTGGAAAGAGGGGAGCCCACTGGAAGAGAATGGGATCAACCAAAATGTGTTTAGTCTAAGCTGGGTCCAGACAAAGCCAAGCTGTTGGCAGCCTCCAGGCCAGACCCGGTGAGCAGAGCAGTAGGGAAACCAGGGCTCCATCTCTCATCCTTCCTGACTGGGGTCCATCTGCTGCTCTTGGAAGTGCTGGTCTGGTACCCCTGGATGGCTTTGTTCATGACCTAACTGCCACCTGACAAGCCCTGGGCTCTGGTGAGTACTAGCAACCATGGTAGGAATGCAGCTGTGAGAAGCAGGACTTATAGCCCAGTGCAGTTTTGCAAGCAAGGAGGTAGTGCCCACCCCACAGGGCCAGCTTAACAATAAAGCAGCAGGACAGGATTAGGAAGCAGGAGGTGGTAGGCTTCAACTCCAGGGTCTGCAAGGACTGGCCATCTCCCTGAGTGAGGGACAATACCATTTCTGTCACTGGTGGCCAGTCATGGAACATTGACAGAAAAAGATCCATCATGACAACAAAGTGAATGGCTCCGTAAGACGCGCTTATCCTGAGAGGGAGCATGGAGGCCCCTGCTCAGCATGTCCCCTTGAGATCCCACCCAGCAGGAAGTGGAAATGCCACAGAGACCCCTGGGGCCTCCTGTAGGAACTGGCTCAGCTAGTGCAGGCAGCTCTCTGGGGGACGGACGAGGAACCAGGACCCTTGACCATGAGGGAAGGATGGGTTTCCATGAGGGCCATGGAGAGCCTCAAAGGCCCCAAGGCCAAGCTTTGAACACTAGGGGGCCCAACTCTGTGAGGATCCAGACAGACAGTAGCACCCAGATGTGGAATACTAGGTGGGACTGGATCCAGTGGCCCAAGGATCACAGAAGCCAACTTTTAGAACTCAGAAGGACACATATTTCAACTTGTCCTAGTATGGGAGTTGCAGCTCCACCAGGTGTTGGCCCAAACTGTACTTGTTTGTCTCCAGGGATGGAAAGTTCACCACCTTCCCAGATAGCCCCTTCAAGGTATGGCAGCTCATACTGGGAGAAGCTCTTCCCAGGTGGCAGCCTGCTCTGCAAGCCCCATAAGGCTGCTCTCTCAGACTGAGCAGGCCCAGGACAGAGGCTAGCTGCCCTTCTCCCCATCCTGGCCATCCTCAGCCAGGCCCAGCTGGGACCCTAGAGCCACAGTATGTGTGAATGGAGGCACGAGGCATCTTCCTGCCCTTTACCTCCTGCCAGGAGCACATGTTTCCCAAATGAGTCCAATTCTGTTCCTTGGCCCACCTCTCCCCATCCCAGATCCTCAGGGGTAGCCCCAGACCAGGGATACCAAGCCATAGCATCCTGTGCTCAACATGGACAGCCTGCTTGGTATGGAGGGACCAGAACCCTGACACCCACTCCTACTCCTGGGAGCCAAGCTGGAACCCAGCAGCCTGCACTCTGCACTTGGCAGGGGCTCCTTCTTAGGTAGAGCTGTCCCTACTGTCTCTCCCATAAGGACTTGCTGCCCACTGCCTGGTGGGTTCCCCAGGCCCGGGTCTGCCATTTACTTATGTATGTATGTATTTATTTATTTTTATTTATGTACTTTTTTGTTAATCCTCACCTGAGAATATTTTTTCATTGATTTTTAGATAGCATGGACGGGAGGGAGGGAGAAAAAACATAGATGTGAGAGAGACACCTTGATTGGTTGCTTCTCACACATACCCTAACCAGGGCTGGGGATTGAACCTGCAATCCAGGTACATGCCCTTGACCAGGAATCGAACCCAAGATCGTTTGATCAATGGGCCAACATTCTAACTGCTGAACCAAACCAACCAGGGCCACAGTCTGCCCTTTATATACACTCATTAGTCCCCAAGGATGGTGAGCAGGACCTGGGCCCCCAAACCTAGAGTTGCCCTTCCAGCCTTATCTAGGTTCTGGTTTTATGGTGCATCATCCATTGTCCCACATGCCTGCTATTTCAGTAGGGAGCCTCTACAACCCTTCCATGGGCCCCAATGCCTCTTCTCCAAGAATCATGCTGATTGTAAGAACTGATGGTTTCACCCCACTTGGCCCTCTCAGGTGCATGGAGAATCCAGCCAGGTCAAGACCTTCAGTGGCTGCACCTACCTTCCACCATGGCGATGTGCTCCCGGCGGTGGCGCTGTTCCCCAGCCTGCAGTGTTGGATCCTGCAAGCACAGCTCTACGCCACCTCGTATGGAGCCCAGCTGGTTCACCAGCTGTGGGACAGACATCAGAGGCCACTTAGAGCCCACAGCTCCCCAAGGAGCCTGACTCACCACTTTGGGGTTGCAAGGACTGGTTAGAGCATGGGGGTCCTGCCCCAGCTGTGTCCCAGAGTCCTAAAGCCTTGCCACAGGGTCCCAGCCCAGCCACCATATCCCCACAGGGACCCAACACTGCCCAGGGCTCCAGTGATGGTAGGGATACTCTCTATCCCCGCTGTTCCATATGGCAGCTTTGCGGGTCCTGAACACTTGAAATGGTGAACTATAACTAATTTAAATTTAAGTCACTATGTGTGGCCAGTAGTGACTGAACAGAACTGACAGGGCCCAAGCTAACTTGTGACAAATTGCTTTCCTGGGACCTGACATGGAGGCCAGACTCCTCCTGGCCCACCCCAGGCTGCCAGCAGCAGCATCACAAAGGAGGCTGGCAGCCAGGCAGAGTCATAGCCTGCACACATTTTCTCTGGACTATGAAGGACAGAGCAGACTCTATCCAGTGTGTCCCTTATGAAGTCCTGTTAGCTCATCATGATGGTGGGTAATAGTTGCCTGTTTTCCCTTCTTTAATAATGGATAGTATGTGACAGTGGCCTGCTGTCGCCTCTCTCATCATGAATTGGTGAGTGACAGTTTTGTGGTGTCCCCTGTCTCAGAATGGACTTTAGGTAAGACTGTTGTACAATCTCTCATCATGGAGGGTGGGTGACATTTTCCTGGTGCCCCTTCTTTCATCATGGATGGTGGGTGATAGTGGGCCTGATATCTTCTGTCTCATCATAGACAGTGAATGACAATGGACTTGGTGTTCCATTATGAACCCTGGGTGACTTGAACCTGGTGTCCCCTCTATCATCATGGTTATGGATGGTGATGACAAGATTGTGTCCTGGTGGCAAGCCCCCTGCCACTTCCCTGCACCCTCCCTCCTCACCTCACACTCGTAGTAGCCCAGGTCCTCCTTGCTGGTCTCCCGGATCTCCAGCATAAGCAGGCCACTGCATGGCTCACTCAAGGTCTGGTACTTGTTGCCAGGGGTCAACAGGGCCCCATTCTTGTACCACCTGAAACCAGCCCTGATGGTCAAGTAGGGACCTCAAAGTCTCCTGTGCTCATGACCCGCTCTCACCCATCCCACAGATCTGGGTGTCCTTACAGCACCCACCCTTTGGGATGCCACTTGCCCAACATCCAGCCTGACAACATCCTCCCTTCTGCAGCTAGAGCTGTCAGAATGTGCCACAGCTCCAAGACACCCACTTCTCATCCGAAAGGCCAAGCTTCTGTCTAGCCCACCCGAATACAGTGAACATGCTGCCCACCCTCAATTTACAAGCAGAAGTGGTGGCCTCGGGGCAGGCCCACCCCCCTTGTCCATGCAGCCCACCTGATCTGAGGGTGTGGAGCACCTTCAATGGTGCAGGTAATCTGGGTGTCCTCTCCCTCCACAAAAGGCCCTGCCCAGACCTTGTTCACAAACCGCGGGGGGACTGTGGGCCACAAGGTGGAGAGGAGAAAGGGAGAGACACAGAGATAGAGAGAAATGAAGAGAGAGACAGAGATGAAGAGATGCAGAGAGATAGAATGAGAGACAAAGAAAGAGAAAGGAAGAGATAGAGAGACAAAGAGAGACAGAGACAGAGCGACAAAAAGTGAGAGTCGGCATAATGTGCAGGACTCCACTCCTACCAGTGAGATCCCAGACCTGGGTCAGATGTCCACAACACCCCACCAGCTCCATCCAAATGCCTGCATCCCCTTGGGGGCTGCTGTAGTGGGTGTGGTTCAGGTGCCCAACATCCAGTTTCTCTCCCAGGCTCACCCTGCACCAGGATCTTGCCCAGGGTGCTGGCATTGCCAGCAGCGCTGGCCGCAAAGCACATGTACTGGCCGGAGTCAATGCCAGTCAGGTTGTCCAGGATGAGGGTGCATGAGCCATCAGGGTCTTCAATGAGGATATGGTGAGGGTCTACCTCTACTGGCTTCCCATCTGGAAAGGAGGGAGGGCTGTCACAAAGGGGCCTCATGGGGACAAGAGGCTGGGCTTGCCCAGGGGTCATGGTCACAGGCTGTGGCAGGGTGGGGAGCAGTCCTGAAGCACACGGACCAGATGCAGCTCCCTGCTGGTAGGTCCAGCTGACCAAGCTGACCTGGAGCCCTGGAAACTTTCCCAGATCTTGGAATTCACAGTGTGGCCTCAGGAGGGTGGGCTCTTATATGGAGGCAAGGGTGGGCTGGGGGCCTGAACTCCACAAAAGATGTCCCATTCTGATAACCAGACCCTGAGCCACCTTGCTAATAATGATCTGTGACCTCCAGGCATCTCCAAGACACTAACTTCCCCCACCCCAAGAGACACACTTGGACACCACCCATATATATAATCACTCTTGTCTGAATACCCACCCAGCCTAATGTCTCCAGCCATAATGTGATTCTTTCCTGGGTAAGGAATAGGGAGATGTGCACCTTTCACTTCAAAGAACTCTTTCCTCCATGAATATGTAAAATTTCGTAAACAAACACTTTCCAGTAGCTCTGTATGTGCTAAACAAGGTGGTTTAAATTACAACAGTTCATAACCAGAATCTTTACTTTTAATTTACAGGAAACCTTAAAAAATGATTTTAACATATACCAAAAAAAGCCTCCAGCTGCCACCCCATTCCTCTGCACCCCTGCACTATGTTCCAGGAGAGTTCTCACTTCAGGGCTTCCTTCTTATTGTCTCCCAAACCCACTCCCCCTGGCTTTCATCTCCCACAGAACAGCTCTTGGCAAGGCTGCCAGAGACATCATAATCTAGTCCATTCTCAATCCTTGTCCTACTGTCAGAAAACAGTTCTCCATGCCCTTGTGGCATTCCCACGCAGCCCACTACTATGCAAAGACATGATGGTCAGCTCCCAGATGCTTGTTCAAGAAGACACCTTGAGTGTCCAGGGCAACAAGAAGATAGCTCTCTTCTTTCGTACAGCCCACAAGGCATTTATCTTTCTGGGGAACAGATGGACAAATTTGTCAGCAGCCCCATAAAGGCTCAGCACCTCCATCCTGGCCAGTGTGGCTCAGTGGTTAAAGCATTAACCACACAACAAAGGGTTACTGGTTTAATTCCTGGTCAAGGGCATGTACATACCTGGGTTGCAGGTTCAATCCCCAGCCCTGATCAGGGTACATGTGGGAGGCAACCAACCAATGTGTTTCTCTCACTTCAACATTTCTCTCCCTCTTTCTCTCTCCCCTCTCCCTCCCTCTCTCTCTCTCTCTTCCCCTCCCTCTCTCCCTTCCACTCTCTTCAAAAAATATTAATAAAAAAAATATCCTCAGGTGAGGATTAACAAAAAGGTCAGCACCTCCTAAAACTCAGAGTCTCTCTTGTGGCACAACCCACTGTGTGCAGCTAACAATGGACCCAAATGTTGTGCTTTTCTGTGGCCAGCAGCCATTGTCTCTGACCCAGGTCTTGTGTATGTGTCTGGCTAGCAGGCAGGAGATCATCTCAGACCCTTCATGGCTTTTGATATTTAGTTTGGTGACAAGCAAGGCACACTGTCAGAGACACATCATTCCAGAAGAGTAAGGTGACCAGTTAACAGGACCTGAGGAAGGTCCATGGAAACTGGTGGTGTACATGCCAACCAACCTGTATAATTAGCTGAACAGTAATATTCCTCTGTACCTGCTGCCTGTGAATGGAGAAGAACTGGGCAGGTGGCTACAGTCTATCCAATAAGAACTAGGTTCAGAGACAGATTCCTGGTCAGTGCCTTGGTTGACACACTCTCTCCTTAGTGCTGTGGGTTGAGCCTCAGGTCACCCTTGTTCCCAAATATATGGATGGAGCTAGCTTTTATTGAAGCTAATCTGCCACTTTGACTCCTGGCCCCTGGCCTTGGAACTCTGTGCTCTGCTTCTGGAGCGATTCACCTTTGACTTATCTGTTTCTTAACCAGTTCTGATGCCAGGCCCTCTCGGCACCTGGTAGTCCCTTTCCCAGGATAGCTACTTGGCTACTCACTGGCTATAAAACAGTCTGGGAAGTGAAGAGTGAAGATCTGACTGTCTTGCATTTCTGTATATGTCTCCTGTTAAACTCATTAACCAACAAGCTGGACTTGTCTCTTCATTCTTTGGTCTGTTGGCTCCTTCAGCATTAGGCAAGGGCTTTGCATATACAGCCCTCTTCCGAAACACAAACACTACAACCCATGCTGGGCCATCATCAACCCCAATGGGCAGAGGACAGGAGTGAGTGAGAACTCCACACATGAGGATGGGCAACAAGCACGCATGCATGGAGTGTTCCTTCTGAGATGACAGTAAAGGATCAGGTGTGTACAGAGGGCCCTGGTATGAGATACCTCCCTACACAGAAAAAGTCCCACAGGGAGCCATCAATGGTTGGCATATGGCTTGTGGCCCCTGGGTGGCATCTAGAATGTTGATGACAGCTGGAGAAGGTGACCCACAGGGGCGTGTGTTCTTACAGGTGGTCCTGTCACCTCAGAAATCTTGTTCAGCCATCATGGAGAAAGGCTAAGTGGATATACCATCAAAAAGGTCACTACCATACAAGTTAAACCCCAGTGGGCCAAGGAGTATCAAACCCCAGAGAGCAATGTGACCCAATTAAGTCGAGGGCCCCCAAGCTGAAATGGATACATCAGTAGAGAGAGTCATGCGGTCCGGATTAGGGTATGGGTGAGCCCAAAGCACTGGATGTCACTGAACTGTGGAAGTGTGTCTTGTTCCATCTCTGACACTTGCCCTCTTCCTCCTCCTTCACTTGACCTCCACTGCTTTAAGAGAAAAATGATCAGGAGTGGGCATCAATCTCTCTGTGCCCATCCTACATGCCTGATACCTCAGGTATGGAGTAGAACTCAGACCTTCACAGGTCTACCAGATACAGGCACCTGGACACCACTGATGAAATCTTCTAAAGCAGTCTATGGGTCATGACCCCTTTGGAGGTCGAATGACCCTTTCACAGGGGTTGCCTAAGACCATCAGAAAACACATATTTCCAATGGTCTTAGGAACCGAGACACTGCTCCTGTATCCATCTCCAGGTGGGTCCACCCACATGCAGATACGCCCACATACAACATGAGGAACTGTATTAAAGAGTCATGGCATTAGGAAGGTTGAGAACCACTGTAAAGGTTCAGGGTTATCCAGGAAGATAGTGTCATCTTGAGGTCCAGTCAGGGGACTATGGCTGTGGCTCCTACCCCTAGACCTTCATATTTGCTGTGTTTGGAATTCCCTGCCCCAAACATGGGGAGGGGACACTCCCAGTTGGGATGCCTACACATGGAGAGGTGGCCCTGGAGCATGTAACTGGCCCAGCCCAGCAGTCAGTCCCTTCCCAGGTTGATGCTTAGAACCCCAGGGAGAAAGGAGATTCTGGGCCTCCTGAGTAATAAGAAGGTAACTAGGGTAATAAGAGAGGCTTGGTCCAAAATCAATGGCCTTGTAGAGCCAGAGGGAGTAGATTGTCACCAGCCCAATCCAGTCTCTGCTCCTGTGGCATCAGCTGGTATAGACAGGGTGGCTGTAACAGGTCCACTGTGCATTCACGTGACAGTCTCTAATACATGTCTCCAGTGCTCTCTTCTCCCTGGCAATTCCCTCGGGGTGGGTCAGGACTTGACCCTCTGCCCCCAACACTCAATTTCTGCTGTATAAGGTTATTTTGTCTGCTGGCAAGTCTGACTTCTGCTCGATGCTGCTCTTCCTGTTATGTGCTCACTAACCTTGAGCAGTTGCAAGTAGCCTGGCTATTTATTTTGCCACTTAACAACTATAGTGGCCTGGTGGAAGACACCCTCACGTTAGGGCCATGAGCCACTGAGGCAAAGAGAGACCACTGATGGGGCTCCCACCCAAACCACCAGGGTTCTGTGTGGAGCTGCCATGGAGCATATGCCACTGACCCCCCAGAAGACTGTTGAGAAATGCTCTAGTCCAGGTGGCGAACACATCACATGAGGTGAACTCCTATCGTGACAGGTCAGTGCCTCCCAGGGCTATCTGTGGTGTTTCTCATTATGATGCTGCTTTGGGTCAGCCAACAGCCAGCTCTGGCCACAACCCATGGCAGAGTGTGCCACCTGGACCACTTACTGTTAGACCACTGTGTCAACATGAGCTGATCGTCTAGCTGCTCCTCTGGACTCTTGCACTCACTGGACACCGCTGTCTCCAGAGGGGCAATCCCCTCCAGGGTCTCACTGGGTAATAGCCAGGGTGAAAGAGACTGAGGACTGCCTGGCACAGTTAGGAACCAAGAATCCCACCCAGACTGCCTTGGGAGGTGACTTCTTCTTCACCTCAGATGTGGCCAGCCAGCACATGCCCCTGGGGACAGTCTGGCCAAAAGGAGGGCCCGAAGAATGCAGAGTCACTTCTGGATGACTTTTATGAATGACACTGTCCCTCTGAGCCTGCCCTTCAGGTGAAAGGTCTGGATGAGGAGGGATGGTAGGAAGGGCTGTTGAGCTGTATAGGTTCTATGCAGGGTGAGGTGTCTGGAAAAGGACAGCAGCAGACCTCAGGATGTGGGCCAGGAAGCCTCCCTCCAGGAAGGAAGACCCCAGGAAGCTCTTTCAAGCTGCCACCAGGAACTAACTGCTGCATTCACTGGCTCTGCCATGCAGTTCTGACCATGGGCCACAGCAATGGCCCCTCCTGCATGTCCCAGAAAATGCCCTGTGTCCTCTCCAGCCCCATCCTTAGCCCTTCATGGGCAAACAAATGCTCCTGGCTAGTTGTAGACAACCAGAACAAGAACTGAAAGTCCTGGGACAACTCCTCCAAAACCAGGACTGGATTCAGTTATTCTCACTGAACTAGGGACTCAGAGGCCTACCTTGCCAGCCCAGATGAAGCTTATCTGTCAGCCCAGGTGACCCCCTGATAAGAGTATCCAGGTTTACCTGGGAGCCTTGGACCACACTGAATGGTCTATGCTACATTATGACTTAGGAGCTTTGGGCCACATAACATCAGGTTGACCTCTAGAGAGGCTGTGTTTAAGATTAGTCATACAGTGGTCAGTTGTGACAATATGAATAACCCCCAAGAGAAACCCTGGACACCAAGGCTTGGTAAGAGGCCCTAGTTGGCCACTCTATGTGTGCTGTCAAACATCAAAACTGAGAGAATAGGTGCTGTCTGCACAACCTCACCTGGACCCTGCCAGGACCCTACCCCACACCCCTCTTTCCTTTTCACAGCAATAAACCAGAACCCTAAGTGGAATGGCTCTGCTAAATTCTGTGAGCCCTTCCAGTGAATCACTGAACCTAAAGGTAGCCATGAGACTCCAGACCTTGGTGTCCGAGTGAAGGTGTTCCTGGGGATCCCTGAAGTCTCCACAGCTCCCATCACACTCAGATCAAATCTGTGGCCCCATGGCAGCCCTCATTTCCCACTGTTCTGCCATGGTGCCCCCTCTCCCTGGCCTCCTGGCTACCTTGCTGTCCCTCGGAACCTTCTAACATGTGTGTCTGGCTGTGCCCTATTTCTTTAGCTGGCCACATTGCTTCGACTTCATATTATACCTTTGTCTCTCTGCTATTGCCTGTCTACTCCCCTAGAAAGTCTTCTCTCTTGGACAGGGTTGATGCATGCCCTCCCCTCTATCCTGCCTCATGTGCCCTGGCAAGGCTGTCTTTGATATGGGAGCAGGCAACTGGGGCAGGAGGCCTATCCCTCACACCCAGCCCCTGACCAGGCCCCACCCTAGGTCCTGGTTCCCACCCAGCCTGATTCCTTCTGGGTGACTCTTCCCTGTGTCAGAGCCAGCACCCCTAGGCCATGGGGACCTACCTTTGTACCAGCTGATGATGGGTCTGGGTGTGCCCGTCACACGGCAGGCCAACTTGACTGTTTCACCCAGCTGGGCTGTGCAGTCAGCTAGTTCTTCCTCGAAATCTGGGGGCCCTGGAGACACATACACCACACACCTGGGCCCTGAGAATTCATCCCTGCCCTCAGTACACCCCTGGCAGGTCCAGAAGTCCCAAGGCTGAGCAATGTGGTTGCAACAAACACCACCCTTTTTGATCCCACAATGGGCCCAAGTGGGAATCTGGATCGGAGGCAGGCTGGCTGTTATTGGGGAGTGGTGTGGAATATGGAGAGAAGAATGTGTTGAAAGAGGAGCCTCTCTCCCATTCCAGGTGGGAAAGGAGACCCAGGGATCAGACCCCCTCACTCCTAATCCTTCTGCGGCTTCTGCACTATGCTGGAGGCCCCTGAATGAAACCCAATGCCCCCCCCCCCAAGTCAGAGCCAGCCCAGCATCCCAGCTCAGCACAGAGAGGCTGAACTAGCTGAGGGGAGAGTACCCTAACCCAGGAGGCAGCCCTTTCCCTGATGGGTGTACAAGCAGGGGCATGAGCCTGGGTGTCCCTGAGCCAATGGCCTGGTTGAAAGGTTTGATCCCCTGTCTAACCTCACCACCAGGACCAACACTCACGCCAGACAGGCAGGGCCAGGCGCTGCTGGATGCCACAGATCTCCTTCACCCAGGCATTCTTGGTGATGACAGTCCGAGCCTGCAGTAGGTACTTGCGCACTGAATCCTCCCGCTCATGCCACACCTCAAAGGCACGGTCATCCCCCTCCACTTGCTCATTCAGGTCAATGCTGCTCAGCTGTGGGGGGAGGAGGCAGGCTGACTGCCCAGGATGTGGCCAGAGGACCAGCCTAGGCCTCCTCCTGCCCACCCTGCAGGATCCCCTCTGCCCACTCAAGTTCCTCTGATGCCTGCGTACCTTCATCATGTTCCGGAACACGTAGCTAAAAGTGTCGGTGTGTGAGTCCCTCCTAGGCTTGCAGACCACCAGGTGGTGGCGGAACAGGAAGACGTGGCGGTGGTGGCCCTTCCAGGGCATCCGTGCACCTGGTGCCCCCTCCCACACAATGAAGTGACCCTGGGAGAGTGGTCAGTGCTTGATCAGCCTGGGCCACAGCGCCCCACTCTGCCCCACCACCCACTCTGCATGGCGCCCACCCCAGACCTGGCGGATAGGCTCGCCCAGGGCCTCCAGGGTGCCCGGGTAGTTCTCCATGAGCGACACATGTAGCTGGTTCTCAGCACGCTGTGGCAGAGCTGACACCATTGCATAGGCCTGCTCCAGCAGCGCACAGTTCTTCCGGTTCCGTGCCTTGTTGCGGATCAACTCCTGGAGAAAGGACAGGTCAGGGTGTGCCCCACCAATCACAAGGGCAGGATGAGGTGGTGAGGGTGAGCTTCAGCCTTCTTACCTTGAGCAGGGCCTGGTACTGCTGAATCCGTTGCACGGGCTGCTCTAGAAAGTGCTGTAATGGTGGCGGGGGCGGCTGTGAGGAGTCAGTGGCTGACAGCACCTCCTCCGAGTATTTCTGTGGGGACAACAGAGTGGGTTTCAGGGCAGGAGGGCAAGGTCTAGGGATGCCCCATGTCACCCAGAGCCCAAGAGCACACACATAGTACCTCCTCCCTGGGTAGGCCTCACCTCCCCTCACCCCCCTGCCCCACCAGTGATAGCCAATCACTGACAGGTGAGAAAAAATTCAGGGGGCTCTGCCTGCTTTAACCACTAAGCCAGGGCCCAGAGACCTGGGCAGGCTGTGTGTTTGGGGGGGGGGGGGGCGAGCATGCCTAGCAGGTGGTGGGAAGCTGGGCAGGGTCAGGGAAGATAATCTTGGAGATGGGAGCCAGCACTGGCTGGGGGACAGGGGTACCTTGTAGAATTCCTGCACAGCCGTGCTGACCACCACCGACTCAGCCTGTACTCGGCCAACCAGGAACTCCAGATACTTTTCAAAGGCCACCTGGTTTTTGATGAAGCACATGGCCACATCATCATCTGTGTCACAGCTCTGAAGCTCCTGCAGGAAGCTGCCATGGAAGAGACAGCATCAAGACCCTATTCACAACCTATGACCCAGCCCCAATCCTCAGGTTTGGGAGCAAACAGGCTCCTGCCAGGCAGTAGTCCTGGTGGCTCCTGGGAATATGCTGGGTTGTGGGGACACATGTGTGTGGTGTTTGAGGGTATGCACGTGTGTGCAGGTATGTGTGTATGTATGTGTGCATGCAAGGCATGTACGTGTAGGTATGTATACACAAGTAAACGGGTACACACATATGTGGATGTGCACTGTGTGCTGTATATATTGTGTGGCTGTGTACATGTATACAGGTGTGCCCATTTAACTCATTCCCATGCGTGTAAGGGCATGTGAGTGCACACATACGTGTGTGCGCCTAGGTACAGAGGCTGCAGCAGGTAGAATTGCTACAAGCGTTTCCATAGGTAAGCCAGGTACACACATCTATGTTCCTGGGAATGTGTGTATCCTTGTACAAGGATGTGGTGTGCCAATGAGTAAATCAAGTCAGCACAGCCTCTCCTTTTTCTGTCTCAGCTCCTGCTCACCGCCTGAGACCCAGCCCTGTGGGTACATGCACACATGAGTGAGTGTGTGTGTGTATGCCTATGTGTGCAGTATGTGGCATGTGTGTACATGTGTTTGCATACACACAGGCTCACCTACCTGCTGTGGAATTGGCCGAGTTCCTGCACATTGCGGAAGATGATGGCCTTTTGGCTAGACACAGTGGCAGGCACATGGGGGCAGTGGTCAAGGTGCTGCATGTGATGGCTCTTCAGAAACTGTAGCTTGCCCACAAAGGCCTGCTCAGAGGTCAGCAGCTCCTGGATGATGGAGCTGAAGACAGGGTGTGAGGGGACCAGGAGCTCAAATGCTAAATAGGCACCTTCCCTCATGTGCAGCCTGAGGCCAGCAAGACAGTAGAGGGGGCACCCCTACAAGGTTGCCCCACTGCACGATGTCACCAGGCTAAGACCCGCCCCCCACCATGGTTCCTCACCTCAACCGCATCTTGTACTCATCCTCAGACACAGTCTCCCTAGGGAACTCAGAGGCCTCTGCGGGCCCCCACTCAGGTGACAGCTGGTAAGGAACAGAGAGGGTTGGAGGTGGCCTGGGTACTGGCCTGGCCCTGTGGGGGTCAGGTTCCGATACTCACTGAGGGACAACAATCCTGGAACAACAACCCCCACCCCCGCCCTGGGCAGTCCAGGTACCTTGAGCCGCCTATCTAGATAGGCAGGGGACACCCAGCCCTGTCGTGAGGGGCTGGACTTGGTGGGCTTGGTGCGCACAAGCCAACGCAGAGGGTGGGCCGAGTCCAGCACCTCCACATATTGGCCCTCCCGCAATGAGATGGCATCCTGCTCAGCTCCCAGTGGCAGGTAGTCAGCAGTGACCACATAGATGTCAAAGATCTGAGGGAGGAGAGTGCTGAGTCAGACCCAGAGAGGAGCCAGTTGGGTTTCTCAAGGCCCCTGGCATTAACTAGGGAAGAAGCCATGCTGACATTCTGTGAAGTTCTAGAACAGACCCAACCAACCTCTGCTGAAGGAAACACTATCAGGGGTGCCATGTGGGGCCACCCCAGAGGGGCAAGGGGGAGCCTCAGGGGTGCTGGGATATCCTGGGTTGTGGTGGTGATGTTGGCTGCTCAGCTGTTTGCCCTCAGTCTTCTCCAACGTACTACCTGAGGGCCCCCTGTTCCCTCCCCCACCCTCACTCTTGTTCCCTCCTGCAGGCTCCATTTACCCCCCTGTTTCCCCCAGCACCTCCCCCCGGGAGTCCCCGTCTTCAGACTCTGAGGATGACTCCTGGACGCTGGAGGAGGGGCGTGAGCGGCCATGCCGGGGGGATGCAGATGGTGTCTTGGACTCCTCATCACTGTCACCTCCCGGCACCTGCAGCTTGGCTGGGGATACAGGGCATGTGACACTGAGAAGGACCAGTACTGTGTGCCCCTCCCCATGGGTTTCCAGGGTATGGGTGTGGACGACCTTGGCTCTGGGTCACCACCCTCACAAGCCCCCACCTAGGACCTTACTCCATGCCAGCTCCTCACCCTGGGTAATCTTGGCTGACACCATCTCCGTGATTTGTGAGGTCAATTTCTGCAGGAACTCCTCTGTGCCCACCTCGGCCAGGGACAAATGGCCATGGGCCTCAGCCGCCAGGGGCTCTCCTGTTGGTAGGACCCTAGTTCAGCCAGTGTGCACTCCAGACAAGCCTAAGCATCCCCTCCAGGACCGTCCTGAGCTCAGGGTTTAAGGGAGATGGGTACACACAGGCATGGGGCTATGCTGCCAGAAGTACAGAAGCTGATTAGGATAAGGGGACTCAATGGCTCACAGGTGTCTATAAATGCAGGGAAACAGGGCCCAGAAGAGGGGCAGTGGGAGGTCAGGTAATAATGTGCAGTCAGGAGAGTGGGCAGCCAGCATGGCTGCAGGACACTGGGCCAGGGCAACTGAGGTCCTAGCTGTTTAGAGGCCAGGGTAGGGGAAAAGCTTGAAGACATTGGAGCCCCCAAAGGGGTTTGTGCCTCCTCCACTGGGGGCTCAAATTTGGCAGCTGGTCTGGGACAGGTTCAGGAGGGGCAGGGGGCACAGCGAGCTCAGTCAGGCAGTGGGCAAGGAGGGTGAGATCTGGACACTGAAGGTAGGGGACAGGACCCAGATTTCTGGCCCAAGGGTTCAGGGGTTGGGAAAGAGAGCTTCAGTGGTTGGGATTAAGGGTGAATGAAGGCCACTGGTGGGAGGGGGGCAGTAAAAGGGGGTAGGTATATGTCATCCAAAAAGTAACCCAAAGGCGGATGATGGGCACATGGCTCTGTCCTCTTTACTTCTGGGCAGACTCAATGTTTTTCATTAAAAAAAAAAAAAGTTAAAAATACCCCAATGTTCCAGAATGCCCTGTGCAGGTACCCAGGGAGGGGCTGAACATATGGGGGCCCTCACCCAAGTCCTGACTTGGTGGCCACCTGCCCTGCACCCAGGCATTCACACAACTGGCAAAATGTGAGAACTGAGCCAAGGGCTGGCAGGGCCCAAGGTCAACGGAGCTCATAATAGGGCCTATAAGGGATACCTGGGGAACCTGAGCACATAGCTGGGAGAGAAGGTATTCCAAGCCACCTGCGCCCTCCCACCCCATACCTTTCTGCCCAGCAAGGTTGGTGAAATCCACAGGTTCCGGCATCTGTTCAGAGATGGCTTGGGTCCTAAAGAGAGTGGAGTGTCCTGAGGGCCTGGGGTGGACCCACCACCCATGCCCTTGTGTGGGAGCTTTTGACAGAAATAGGGTCTAAGGGCAGTAGGCCAAGTGCTAGTCAGGCTCTGAGCAGCCCTCATTTTATAATAGGGAAACTAAGGCACAGAGAGATTGGGGGCTGGCTCAAGCCACACAGCTTGCAAGGGGCAGAGAGCTAGGCTGTATTTCAGGATAGGGCACCCTCCCCGATAACAGTGCTGTCCCTTCCCAGTGCCAGAATCCCCAAGCCACCCCACATTAGCTCTGGCGTAGCCCTTCACTCACCCCTGAAGAAAAGTGGAGATGAGGGCCTCCTTCACCCCAGCTATCTCTCCCACTGATCCCGCCTCCTTGGGCACTGTTAGGAGAACAGGTGACCACCAGGATGACACCCAGCCCACTGAGATGATTCTGGTTGGGACCTCTGCCTGGGATGTCTGGGCTACCCCCACCTAAGGGCCTTGGCCTGTCTGTCCAAAGCCCCAAGGAAAGGCGTTGCCTGGCATCCCAACTGGGCCCACACCCACCCCACCAGTGGTGGAGACAGGAATGGGTCCACACTTGACAAATCAGCCCACGGAAGGGCTGAGCGGAGCCAGGAAGAGACTACTTGAGGTGGCAGGGGGCTGCTAGAGGGTCTTGGTCTGCTGATCTGAGCCTACAAGGTAAGGGTAGGAGCTGATCCCTGGGGCCTGTGCTCAGGAGGGGTCTGAGCAGGGCCCCAGAGAGGAGGTGCATGTCCTCAGGGTGGGAGGCTCCTCCCCACACCCAACAGGCCACCCATACCCACTCACAGCCAGAGACATGCAGGCTGGCGGAGCAGAGGGCCTGGCCAGCAGTGTTGGATGCAATGCAGGTGTAGGTGCCCTGGTGCTGTAGGCTCACGTCCAGCAGGACCAGGCTGTGCTGCTGGGCTGAGCCAGCCACAGTGTAGCCTGGTGTGTCCTGACCAATCCACAGCACCTGCTCTGCCTCCTCCCGTAGCCAGTGCACAGCCGGGGCTGGGAGACCTGGGGTAGGAGTGGATGATAGACAGTCAGCCCTCCACTGAGAAGGGGATTCTAGGAGAGAGGGTGCCTCTGACCCTCTCTGGGGATCCTAAGTGGGGGAGGGCAGGATTCCCTACCTTCAACCTTCACAGAGAAAGTGATGCTAGAGCCCTTCTTCACCTTCTTAGAGGTGAACTTCTCCAGGAATCGGGGTGGCACCAGCTGTTGCTGCACATCTGGGGAGACACTGGAGGCTGCTGGTAACAAGTGCAGAGCCATAGCCCTGTGTAGTGGGTGGCCTCTGCCCCTCCTCCCAGGTCCAGGCCCCCACCCACTTGGGTAGCTATCCCTACAGCCTATGCCCATTGTTCCTCCCTTCCTCCCCCTGATAAATATCCCCACGCACCCTCACTGAGCTTCCTGCCCTCCTTCTGCCCATCTGGACTCAGCTCACCTGCTGCTGACTTCTCCTCCGGGTCATTAGGGCCTGAAAGAGGCAGGAAAGTCAGACCTGAAGTAGGACTGTGTGTCCTCCATGGGCCTGGGGGTCTGCTCAGGGTAAAGGTCCCGAGGACGCCCTCCCCTACTTACGCCCAACACCTTCTGAAATCCAGGCAGGCAGGTGACTGCCCTCCCAGTATACTGCTGCACACGGGGCAAAGACCATGGGCCTAATCCCATGCCTGCCATGGGAGGACATGTAGGCCGATGTCAGCTCCCAATACCCACCTTGGACCTGCAGCTGAGCAGACGAATAGGCAGCGCCCACAGTGTTGCTAATGTAGGCTGAGTACTGGCCAGCATCCTCACTAGTGACCGAGAGGACCTCCAGGGTGTGCAGCGTCTTCTTGTTCACCATACGAATGTGCGCAGAAGCAGCCAGAGGCTGCCCATCTTTGAACCAGTACAGGCGGGGCACTGGGTAGCCTGAAACCACAGAGAGAGTGGTCAGCACAAGACCACTGCCCAGTAGGTGCTATGTTTTCCACATGGCCCAGGGAGGGGATCCCTGGAGATCCCTGGGCCACAGTAACCACCTAACCTCTGCTGGTGGGAGGCACTACCCAGCCTTCCAGCCCTATCCCTCTCACCTTTCACCTTGAGCTGGAACTTGGCCAGGTGTGTACCAGGGGCCACCTGGAGGTCTTTCAGCTCCTCCACTACCTGGGGCAGTTGTCCTTCCTCTGATGTAGACTCTGCACCCTCCTGCTCGTGGCTGGCAGAGAACAGAAAGGGGCAACATGATGTGGACAGGTGAGGAGTCCAGGACAGGAGGAGTGGGGTGAGATCTGGATGGCTTCTGAGGTCTTCTGTTAACATGCTGGACAGAGGCCACATGGCCTAGGTGAAGCCTCCAGGACTGGGATTCTGTCAGTCCAAGCCAGCATGGCCACCCCCCATTCCAGGGCTGGGAAATACCAACCTGCTTGGCACTGCCCACCCCTACATGGCCCCCACCTGGACAGGTAGCCTTGGGCACTGAAGTAGGATGAGGTCTCTGTGGCATCCGCAGCAGTGTCATAGTCAGTGCTGGTCACTGGGAATGAAGGGTGAAGTTGAAGCTGGCCTGTGCCCCCTCTCTCCGGGCACAGCCCCACCCCCAGAGATCATCTGGTTCTCACAGTCGCCCCCGGGAGCCACTTTTCCTCCTGAGTCAGAAGTCACAGGGACACAGCTACCCTCCCTGCCCTGAGGCAGTTACAAGCCCAAGTTCTAGGCCAAGTTCTAAAACTAACTACAAAACCAAACAAATTGTAAACACAGGAACTCTGGGCTTCATAAATGGCAGGTAGGGACAGTGGCAACATCTTTCAATATCTGGCCCTCAGCTGGGGCTTTCCACTTGTAGCCACAATGGTGTAAGCAGGACTGGATTTATCCACCCTGGGCCATGTGGAGACTGAATTGTGTGACCCAAAAATTCTTGTGTTGAAACCGAACCTCCAAAGTGATGGTATGCAGATGTAGGACCTTTGAGAGATGGCTAGGTCATGAGGATAGGGACATTAGAAATGGGATTAGTGCTCTTATGAAAGGGACCCCACAGCACTCCTTCCTCTGTGTGAGGACACAGGGAGAAGGGGGCCTTCTATGACTCAGAAAAACCCAACTCTGCTGGTACCCTGATCTCGGACTTACAGCCTTCAAAACTAAGAAATATATTTCTGTTGTTCATAGGCCACCCAGTCTGCAGTATTTTGTTAGAGCAGCATGAACTAAGACACCCCCCAATAGAAACAAAACAAACAAACAAAACATATGAAACAATGGTTGTAATGTTATGATTTATAGTAAATAATATATATTTGGTTTTGTACAATTCCTGGCACAGAGCTCCAAAAACCCTTGGAGTTTCCTTCAAATTCATAACAAGCCCCTGTAGCCCATATCTGAGTTTATGTTAATAATGTGGTTTTTGGAAGGCCCCTACAGATGGGGGCTGATTTTCAGGAAAAGCAACCACGCGGTTAGAGGGTTGGAAGTTTCAGTCCCTTGAGGGAGGGTAGAGGGACCATAGTTGAATCAATTGTATCAGTGTAATGAAGCCTCCATGAACATCCAAAAAGATGGGGTTTGGAAAGCTTCCCAATTGGTGGACATGTGGAGATGCAGGGAGAGTGGTGGGCTCAGAGAGCATGGAAACCCCTCATCCCTTCCCCATACCTTGCCCTGTGCATCTCTTCCATCTGGCTGTTCTGGAGTTATAATTTTTATAGTAAAACAGCAATCTGGTAAGTAAATGTTTCTCTGAGTTCGGTGAGCTGCCAGTTAATGGAACCCAAGGAGGTGTCTATGAGAACCTCTGATATATAGCTGGTTAGTCAGAAGCATGGGTGACAACCTGGACTTACCATTTGCATCTGAAAGGTAGTAGTAGTCTTGTGGTACTGAACCCTTAACTTGTGGGGTCTGACACTATCTTCAGGTAGATAATGTCAGAACTGAGTTTAAATTGTAGAATACCCAGCTGGTGTGAGAGAATTGCTTGTTGGGGGGAAAATCCACATACATTGGAACTGCGTACAGAATCACCAGAATGGTTTTCAAGTCACTGAGCACTAAGCAAGTAAGGACACTGATCCCTGACAGAGAAGAAACAAGGGTGAGCTCTGTGGTTGTCCCAGCTTTCATCTTCAGTTTTCAGGCCCAGAAGAGGAAACTGAGGCAGAGCCAGGTAGACCCTGAGTTGAGGAGACAGACAGCAGCTGGAAGCCACAGGACAAAACACCAGAGAAAAGAGAGCTGCACAGAGAGTCCCTCTCTTGAGGATTCAGCAGAGCACTGATTAGCACATGTATGTGAGTAAAGAACTATCTGAGATACTGGAGGAAACAATGCTGGAGGGGCACAAAGTCTGGGATGCTGCCTGTTTCCACAGCCAGATTGGAAACACAGCCCACAAGGCATCTGGAAGGTGGGAAGGTGCTCGCTAACATTCTCTCCCCAGTAGAGGGACAGGATTAGCCCTGAGTGAGCACTGCCTTGGCCTCATCTAACAAATCACAGCATAGGACCAAACTGCTTCCAAGGAAGTCACTGTTTCCAGAACATAGCTCAAGGAAATCTGCAGGAATGCACAACACCCAGCTCTCAGCAGAGCAAGACTAACAATCTCAGGCACCCAGTCAAAAATCACCAGATATGCAAGGAAGCAGGTAAACAGGACTCACCATGTGAAGAATAACCAGAACTAGCAGAGAAAGACATTAATGCAGGTATCAGAACTCTGTTCTGTGTGTTCAAAAAGTTAAGTAGAGACATAGAACATATAAAGAAGACTCAAGTAGAAATTCTGGAGATAGAAAAAAAAAATACAGTAGATAAGAGAAGCCAGTTGGAATTTGAGCAGTCCTATTGTTTTCCAAAGATTCTTCAATCACTATGTAAACCTACATAGATGTTTCTCTTTCTTCATGTGATAAAGGTCAGGGATCTATACTTATTTGAAAAGCTAGAGAGACACCATTTGTCCCTATTGGATTGGTGGGTTTTGTAGCAATCGTTGCATATGAGTTAAATAAATTGAAGAGCAATGGAAATACTAAAATGTCCATTCACCCGATCCACATGTGAATGGCAGCCCAAGGCTTTGTTGTGGGAGTAATGACTCTTGTTATAGGCCATTCCATGTATAAGGAATTCTGGACAAAACCTAGACCTTAGAAGAGATGCTGTCTTGGTCTTGTTGCTGGTGTTTGCTATAGTTAGACATCTCATATTGAGCTTATATGTTTATGTTGAAAATAAATCATTTGAGTGGGTCAGACAATAAAATAGTAATTTGAATACTAGCGTTCTTTCTTGCTGGCTTAATTTGCCAGGTGACCTAGTTCACTAACTACGTCATTAAGGGGAGTCAAATTAGCACATAAGAAACATGTCACTTTTAAGTGTACTTGATAGTGGTAAAATGTCCACCTTGTTAAATTTCTTCTGGTGAAATTAATTCTAAAGAAGACAACATGCCAATCCTAAAGTACTCCCAGTTGCTGCAGAATATCACATGCTTTTGACGTTATGTAGGAATCCTTTCTGTCCCAGTTATTTTAACATTTTTCTGTCTGCCTTGTGGGTTGAATGAGTACTTCAGTTTTTAGGGCTGGTTGGCTTATATAACATTACAAGCCTACCCAATACTGAACATGCGTGTATGTTTAAACCAAACCTAAAATGCTGATAGCAGCTGCTAGAAGGTAGTATTTATTTAAAATCACACGTGTAAGCATAAGAAAATTATGGATTCCAATTTACCTCTTTTGTAATTGCAGAATTATATTTTTGCTGCTGTTGTATTCGAATAATTTTTAAATGTCATCTTGAAATAGAAATACATATTCTAAATTTTAATGCGAAGGTCATGAAAAACAGCTTTTATTTTATTTTATTTTTTATTAATTAATTTTTGTTACAGATGTTTCTCCTTTTTCCCCCACTGATTCCCCTTTCCCCTTCCCTCCCTGCCCTGTCCCCAGTTTGTTGTCCATGTCCACTGTTTATGCATACATGCATATAAGTTCTGTGGTTTATCTCTCCCCCACCATCCCCTCTTCTGGGGATTGTCAGTCTGTACTCCACCTCTATGTCTCTGGGACTACCCCATTCGTCAGACTGTTATGTTCATTATATTCCACAAATAAGTGAGATCATATGATACTTGTCCTTCTCTGTTTGGCTTGCCTCACTCAGGATGATACTCTCCAGGACCCTCCATGTAGTCTCAAAGGATAAGAGATCTTTCTTTCTTACAGCTGCGTAGTACCCCATTGTGTATATGTACCACTGCTTTTTTATCCATTCGTCTACTGATGGACACTTAGGCTGTTTCCAGATCTTAGCTATTGTAAATAGTGCTGCTACAAACAGGGGGTACATATATTCTTTCTGTTTGGTGTTTCAGGCTTCTTAGGGTATATTCCTAGAAGTGGGATCACTGGGTCAAATGGAAGTTCAATTTTTAATTTTTTGAGGTAACACCATATTTTTTTCCACAGTGGCTGCACCAGTCTGCATTCCCACCAGCAATGTACTAGAGTCCTCTTTTCTCCACACACTCGCCAACACTTGTTGTGAAAAACAGCTCTTAAATATGTGCAGTATGTTTACTTTGTCAGTAAGAATCATAAATGGTAAACTAAACAGATTACCTATAATGAAAGTGATTAATGATTTGAGAAAGCTCTGGTCAGACATTGTACACAAACTTTTGTGTACTACAAAAGGCTTTATTGTGCTTGTGAAATCCTAACCTGAATTTACATTCCATGGTGATTACATGGTAAATGTAGTGTTATTAAAATAAGTGAACACACACACACAAATACAGTAGATGAGACTAACAGCAGATTAGATACTAAGAAGAAAGAACAGTGAATGTATAGGCATAGCAACAGAAAAACCCAAATGAAGTGCACAGAGAAAAAAGTTTTAAAAACTTGAGTATCACTGAGCTGTACTATGGCTTCAAGTGGCTTGATATATGTGTAACTGAAGCCACCAAACAATGAAAAAATGAAACATATTTAAAGAAATAATGGCAAAAAAAATCCAAACTTATTGAAAACTATAAATCCCCGCCCTGGCCAGTTTGGCTCAGCGGTTAGAGCGTCGGCCTGCGGTCCGGAGAGACCGGGGTTCGGTTCCCGCTAAGGGCATGTGCTTCGGTTGCAGTTTGTCCCCGGCCTTGGTTGGTCATGTGGGTGGCAGCCACTCGATGTGTCCCTCTCACGTCGATGTTTCTCTGTCTCTCTTCCTCTCTCTCCCTCCCACTCTGTCTGAACAAAAAATGGAAAAATGTCCTCAGATGAGGATAAAAAAAAAAAAATGAAAACTATAAATCCCCAAATTCCAAGAATCTCAATTAACTGCACACATAAGGAAAACATAAAGATAAGTGCACCACCCTAGACATTGTGGCTTAGTTAGTTGAGTGTTGTCCCATGTACCAAGAGGTCACCAGTTCAAGTTCTGGTCAGGTCACATGCCCAGGTTTTGGGTTTGAGCCCCAGTAGAGGGTATGCAAGAAGCAACTGATCAATG